TATAAAACTGTAACAGTTCTGAGGATTTTAACAGGTGATCCTAAACTCTCATTATTCTGGATTGGCAACATCGTTAAGAGGAATCTATCTGACACCCTTTTATACATAGATAAATGTTCCTTATATCTAGCTTGACAGATATCCGATCTTTTCGATAAAAACGTAATCGAATAACAATACGTAATCAACAACCATATGATTGAAAATCTTTTTTTCTAAGTTTTTATAAAGAAAGTACGGTAGCATAAAACCAAGGACGTGATGCTAGCAAATAAAAACAAACGTGACAGCCACGCAGTCTGAATGTCGTAAACCTCGGAATGAATCATAAAATTTCTGTTTTATAGTGCGGAACTAGACATCGGTACTTGTTAAACTATTAAGGATTTTATTGAATTTGTTTTTCTCAGATCGCCCATCAAGATTAACAACGGCCACTCAATTACTCGTTTTTCAAAACAATTCATGAGTCACTTTTCAAACTGTACTGGAACAAAATAACAAAAAAGGAATTATGATGTTTGTCAATACTTTATTTGTCACAACAATAAGAAAGACAGGCAATGCAAATGAGCATTGGAGATACAGAGTGAATGATCTTAATATCCTGGGGCAGTTCTTGGTGGTGGGCAGTGATCGCAACCTCCTGGGGCTCCGGTCTCTCCATCGGCTCCATTGTCTCCGTTGGCTCCTGGCTGTCCTGAGGCTCCAGCTGCTCCGTTGTCTCCGGCTGGTCCTTGTGGTCCTTGGGATCCTGGGTTTCCTGGGGCTCCTGGGGATCCGGCTGGTCCAGCTGGTCCGTCTGGTCCTGGGGCTCCTGGGGCTCCGGCTGGGCCTGGAACCTCGTTGACCTTTCCTGGGGCTCCTGGAGCTCCGGCGTTTCCTGGGTGCCCGTCTTGTCCAGCTTGTCCTGGGGCTCCTGGTCCTCCGGCGTTTCCGTTGTTTCCTGGGGCTCCTGGTTGTCCATCGGATCCTGGGTTTCCGTTTGGTCCCTTTGGTCCAGCTGGTCCGGCTGGTCCGGCTGGTCCGGCTGGGCAGTCGAAGCAGAACTCATGGTGTGGGGCTGGGGTGGCGGCTGGTCCGTCTGGTCCATCGTTTCCTGGGGCTCCTGGGGCTCCATCAGCTCCATCCTCTCCGTCTTGTCCTGGGGCTCCTGGTGGTCCAGCAGCAGAGACTCCGCATCCGCAGCATCCTCCTTGGTGGGAGACAGATCCTTCAACTCCGGCGCTCTCGTATCCAGCTTGACGGCGGGATCTGAGGGCTCCTCCAGAGACCTTAGCGAGAACTTGGGTGCGGGTAACCTCTCTCCAGATGTTTCCAGAGCGGGAACGGCAGAAGTCCACCTCGGATTGCATAACAGATTGCATGTGTTGCATGTAGTTGTAGAGCATTGGGGCGGCAATCACGCAGACCAAAGTGGCGGTGAAGGAGACTGCGACTCCAACGAGAGCCACACGGCGAAGGGACGAAGCCTCGTGTTCGAGTTGCTTGATATCGGACATCTGCAAAACTATACACTTGCTATGATCGTGTTTAACCAGGCATGCTAATTGGGTTCTAATTGCCGAAAATCGCAGTATTTTCTAACATAGAGGTATAATAGGAAGATCACACTAAAGGAAAATTTGGACAGATAAAAAGATTAGAAGGCTTACCTTGGGTTGGAATGTGATGAGACACCTGTCAAATGCCACCCACAATCTACCTTTTATACTCTAAGTAGGCGGTGTTTGCCACCATCCAGTACGTTGAAAACATAACTGGAATTCTGAAGACGCAGACAATAAATAGGCGGAGTCGTTCAACAAGAGATACGGTAAAATGTTGAGACGTCAGTGAATGAAAAGACAATGAAAAAATGTCCGCAAAAGGTCGGCAGTTTGAGATTAAAAAAAAGCGTTTAGGACCCAGTGATGTAATAGTGATTTCTTTACACCCTCATGCCGTTGTTGAGGTACAAGCCGGTAGGTTGTGGTGAGGGACAAAAGAGGAAGTAAATTAAAAATGACTGATGCAGATCACACATCTTCGGAAAGAAAAAATGAGGGACAAGTATGTACGCGATTTTTTTTTCGCGAAGTTATCCTTGGATCAACGTCAATCAGGTTTCGAAAGTAATTAGGATAGTTTTGAAAAAAATCGAGGGAAGTGTTCGGTCTCAGAAGCAAAAACAGCAACAGCTGAACTAGAGAAAATGATTGATTGTATCGGTTGACAGATGACAACGCAACTTTACATTTTCGGTAATCCAGCCGCTTTCTTCCTCCTCTCACCAGTTCCATTATTTCCTGGAAGGATCTGAAGAAGGTGAAAACAACAAAAAAAATTTGGGAGAAGGCGAATGAAAAGATGATATGATGCAAAACTTGAAACTTTGAAAACTCTCATTGTATCTTTGAAATCTTTCCTCACAGAAACTGGCCAATGCTAGGATGTTGAATGAAGCGGAAACGACATATTTTCAGCACGGATGCATTGATTTATGAACAGATCAGGAAGCAGAATGAGAAATGGAATCTAGTATAAATGAAATACGAACTTTTGCAAGGGGAATCTCATGTTACTGTAGTATTTTTGTCTTTGAATGATCCATGGCTAAAAAGGGGTGCCTATAACCAAATGATAGAACACTGGAACTTCTTAGATTTCAAAATAATGGTTTGAAAGTTCGTAATGCCAATACTTTAGGAAAACATTTTTGCTGAAAAATCTTTGTCTGCCCTTTTAGGACGCTGAAAATAATAACTTGAAAAAATTGAAAAAATAAAACTTTTTTGGAATTTCCTGGCAATGTTGGGGTGCTAAAATAGAGACCGGAACCTTCAAATAACTGATTACAGGTATACCCTTCAAAACTGCTATAATTAAAGTTACAGAGCCCAGAGACAGCATTGCTCTAGACTGTATTTTCGAAATAACTCAAAATGCCTGGCAATTGTCTAATTATCAAGATCTTTTTGAAACATAATATACAAGTCTCAATAAATGTTTTCAGCTTCCCAAAGCTATTTAAACTTAAGCGGATTGCACTTTTCTCGAAATTTGACCGCATATGTATAAAAACGTTGAATGTCATTTGCGTTGTATACTGTATTCTGCAGAAACTCTTTCCAAAATGATTTTGGAACATTTGTCTTAAATGCAAAAACCTCCATTAGAACTATTTTAAGAATCTGGAACTTTTTTTTGTTTATAATCACATGTATTCGTAGTAGTTTTTAATCTTTCACTGATTACTTCCTTGTAGATAATTGAACGTGCGTTTTCTTTTTTGTCACGGCCAATATTCTTCACTTTTTACTACCCCTACTACTCTGTTTGTTTGGAAATTTCATTTCTTCCACCGTTGTCACCGAGATAAGCAATCGTGGAGGTCGCCACAGGTCGACCGTTTTGAATTCGGGTTCCGCATAACTTCCGCGTTTTCTGTTTCAGAATTTGATAGAGTAAGGTCGTTTTCTATCAGTCGTTTACGATGTTTTCTTTCATACCTGGCCCGATTCTGAGGGTTATACGAGAAACCTGCGAGAAAGAGAAAGGGTTACAGTAGATTCGAGATATTAAATGAGCATATAAGTTCCTTTTTCAATACTCTGAAAAATCTGAAACTGCTGAAACATTCTGTAGCTGCGATTTAGCAAAATTTTCAGAATCTGTGAATGGTTGATGACGACATCTTCGCTTGAGAATTCTAATCATTCATTTTGATACATGCTAATGGTTTGTTTATGATCAAGATTAGATTTTCCCAATATCATGGATGTTCATGTGTACCATTTCTTTTTAGTTCTCATAAAGTCTTGGAACGGAATACAAAAATGTTGTCAATATTTTATTTTGTGAGGTAATTAAAAAGAAAGGCAATGCAAAGAAGCATTGGAGATACAGAGTGAATGATCTTAATATCCTGGGGCGGTTCTTGGTGGTGGGCAGTGATCGCAACCTCCTGGGGCTCCGGTCTCTCCATCGGCTCCATTGTCTCCGTTGGCTCCTGGCTGTCCTGGGGCTCCAGCTGCTCCGTTGTCTCCGGCTGGTCCTTGTGGTCCTTGGGATCCTGGGTTTCCTGGGGCTCCTGGGGATCCGGCTGGTCCAGCTGGTCCGTCTGGTCCTGGGGCTCCTGGGGCTCCGGCTGGGCCTGGAACCTCGTTGACCTTTCCTGGGGCTCCTGGAGCTCCGGCGTTTCCTGGGTGCCCGTCCTGTCCAGCTTGTCCTGGGGCTCCTGGTCCTCCGGCGTTACCGTTGTTTCCTGGGGCTCCTGGTTGTCCATCGGATCCTGGGTTTCCGTTTGGTCCCTTTGGTCCAGCTGGTCCGGCTGGTCCGGCTGGTCCGGCTGGGCAGTCGAAGCAGAACTCATGGTGTGGGGCTGGGGTGGCGGCTGGTCCATCTGGTCCGTCGTTTCCTGGGGCTCCTGGTTGTCCATCAGCTCCATCCTCTCCGTCTTGTCCTGGAGCTCCTGGTGGTCCAGCAGCAGAGACTCCGCATCCGCAGCATCCTCCTTGGTGGGAAACGGATCCTTCAACTCCAGCGCTCTCGTATCCAGCTTGACGGCGGGATCTGAGAGCTCCTCCAGAAACCTTAGCGAGAACTTGGGTGCGGGTAACCTCTCTCCAGATGTTGGAAGAACGGGAACGGCAGAAATCAACCTCGGATTGCATAACGGATTGCATGTGCTGCATGTAGTTGTAGAGCATTGGGGCGGCAATGACGCACACCAAGACGGCGGTGAAGGAAACGGCAACTCCGACGAGGGCCGTGCGGCGAAGGGAGCTAGCTTCTTGCTCGAGTTGTTTGATATCAGACATCTGAAACGCCAGAGATGTGTTTTCAAAAAAGACATACGTTAGCTAGTTTTATGATACCCCAATGCTACAGCTACGTCATCCAATAGTAAAAAAAAGAAATTATAAGAAACCTATCTCTCTTCTTGATCTCTACTGTAGGTAAGAAAACAAAATCAAGAGGGAGTAGTAGAAGAAATGCTTACCGTAGATTTGGATGAGATGAAACACCTACCAAATGCCATTTGCAAGTGCCTTTTATACTCCCAGGAGGCGGTGTTTGTCGCAAGGGTGTCGGCAGGGTAAAAACAGTTCTCTAACTTACGAAACGCAGAGAATCAGAATTAAGAAAGCAGCTATGCCAAGGTCAAGCTCTATCGTTCCGTACTCTCTGTCTTATGTTCTATCAGAGGAAGAGAGATATATGACATTGAAGCAGTGATGAATTAAGGAAGTGTTTTATTCTAATGCCGCTAATAGCTGGATGTTCGTTTAGTGTTCGCGGAAAGTGGGGGATGTCAAATTGAAAGAGGGAATAGCAAAGTTCACAGATAGAAAGGTTTTCCCAAATGAGTATCTTTAACTAAAGCTGACTACTTGAAAACTTTCTCATCCCAAAGATTAGCTTCAATACAATTACATCTGGAATCTTCACATCTGGAATCTTTACATCTGGAATCTGACTACCAAATCCTTGACATTCTTTCAATGTTACAATTTTGGAGAAAGTTCATTACAGTATTCTTTCTCCCTCCACATATGATTCATTCATTCTTTCTTCACACACTTTCAAATATGCACGATGTAATAATCAGTTTCTTGTTGTTTCCCAAACGAAGACACTGCCACCCTTTGTTTCAGTCTTAAAGAATATTTGTCGACTTTTTCTCGACGCCATAATTACCCACCACCGCTTCTTCTTGTCCTCAACCAAACCCAATCCGACAAGACCACATAAGAATAATGAAGCTGATGGCATTTGCCACCGCCCCCGAGGCCCCAAAAGACACAAGACACGTATACTGTTGTCTCAATACGGTAATGAATGGCATACTAAAGACAAAAGCAAGTAACCCAGTTAATTTTGTGGCTGAAAAATATACTGTCTCGAGGGGTCTTTCCCGACAGTGTTTTGTTGTTTACCTCCTCACTGGTCCTGTCCAAAAAAACCCAACAAAATGTTGTTTTGTACATACCGCCATGTAAGAACAATCAAAAATTGGAGAACACGTTTTTTATGTGTGTGTTTTTTAATTTTGCTTAAACATTGGAAATTAAAATTCCCGATAAAATACAAAATCAGATAACATCATCTACTCAAACATTTTTTAGGGAGTTTTGACTTTTGCAGTTTGAATGTGGGTATTTGAACTCAACATTCCTTCCATTAATTGTTAAAATGAAACTTCCAGTTCGAAAATATGTTCTTTTCAGATTTTTATCTAAAAGTACCACCAAATTGTTTTTTGCGTTGATCTAGAAGAGACGATAAATGGGAGTCTTCAATGCCTCCGCCATTTCCCAAACGACCAAGATATTTGTTTGACAGCTTTTTTTGAAATAGAAAAAAATGACCTCCACGGATTACTACTCACAACACACAACAACTTCCTCTTCTTTTTTTTTGTTTTTTCTCCGTTTCTCACGGCGGTGATGTTATCATTATTTGAAGAAGATATGTTTTTATGGTAATCGGTTTGTGACCTTGGCAAGGATTGCGATGAATTGCCGGATATGCTGGCGCCAGAAATTTCTAAAATATTACTGCAGAGATAGATATCAGTATCAAACTGAAGGATAGGTATTCTTCAATGTAGCAAAGGGGAATTTGATAATTTGAACTTCTGTCAATCAGATCAAGCCGTCGATAATTGTAGACTCTAGGCAAAGCTTAATCTTCGATCATTCACCCAGAATGGCAACAGCGAGGTGGTGTAACAAAATAAAAAAATATTTTTTCCATTGCTTTTAATTGGCCGCCGATGTCAATGACGCAACGAATCGCAGCTAATGACCGATAAGGGAGATATATTGAGGAACACCACACGTACATATTGCGGACACTTTCACATCTCTGATTTCTCCCAACCAAGTTTTCGTTCCTTCTGAGAGAGTGGGGGGGGGGGGGGGTTCCTGTCGATGAAGCTTCTGAACCTTTTTCTCTCTCATCAACCTCAGTATCTCCGCTTCTTCATCAAGTCTCCTATGTCTTTGCCACTTCCCATCACCCACACCGATAGCTGCCCTTGAAAAAACCGGCGTCAACTCGAAACCTTGTCTGCGACTCATTATCTTCATCATCTCTGTTTCTCACTTCTACCCCTCAAACCTGGATGTAAAAGAGGACCGCTTTTTTTGTGTTTTTTCACATGGCGTCGGGTAAAAAGAAAAATGATGAAAAAAGAGACCTTATCTGTTCGGTTTTTTTCCTTATTTCATATTGGGAAGTCATAAAAAAATTGATAGCATCGCTGAAGACTTTCGTCTGAAGTTATCGGAAACAGTAAATCATGGAAATAAGCATAGGTTCTGGGAACTAAGTTATTCAGAAGAAGGGTAATCGAACAGAAGATTAGTTGTTCATTAATTTGGTTTGTTCACAGGTTGATCTGCATTAGCGGAGGAAGTGGTTCAGTTCGCAAAAGCACAATGATGTCATGAAGAAAAAATTGACTGACTAATCTCATTATAACTGGAATTTTTACGTGAGATTCATAGTTTAAATGATCTGAAATTTGACCTTGTTGCAATGAAGGCATAATTAAACTATAACACAAAATATAATAAATGTGTGAACAACAAGATGAAACATGATCAGAAAACACTTGAATTATTGTCTACCGCGAGCCAGCACATACAAAGGATCAAGTGGATCAAGATGACAAAAAAAAGAGCATCAAGTGGTTTCTGTGCCGAGCTCTCTCCCCTTTTCCGGAAAATCGAAAAACGTGCCCTCTACGGTTTCGCGTCAAAGCAAAGAAGATTAGCACGAGGACAAAATGACGGCACTATTGTGAAATTGGAGAAAGTGCAATTGTTTTTCAAAGTGTAGACAAAAGATGTGATGGTCATTGTTCAATTGAAAAAATTCGCAAAAAATTGCGAGTTTTGGTACAATGAAAAAATTGGGTAAACATTGAAAAAAACGGAAATGCAACATTGCATAAGTGACATTATGTGTTGGGCTCCAAAACAAAGAAACGCATGGTGAATTCAAATTCTTAGAAATTTCAGTCAAAATCAACGCGTACCGTACATTCTCTAAAATAAGCCGATTCTACACTTTTAACTAACTCATATAGGCTTCTATTAGACAATTTACGGTAATTTTTAGATTCTATGTTTTTTGAATTGATGGCATAGTATTGAGGTTCCATTTTATTTACATGTGATTCTATGCAAATACTGAGGATATTGAAAAAAGAATTGGCACAACTTGTTTCTTGAACCTCATGACTCATCGGTTACTGCTTCATAGCCTCTCAAACAAAAAAATCGGGTTCATATGTTGTCATTCATAACTATACCTAGAAGCAAAATCAAACAGTTTCCCTACATCACTATAGACACAAAATGACTCATACTCCTGTAATTTCTCAACTGTTCCATCAAAAACTCAAGTTTTTCTCCAGTATTTCCGCCTGCCGCATCTCGTCGCCCCTTGTGTTGTGAGTCAGTTCCTTGCGGAAACTAGCCCTGGCTCGACGAGCCATGCCGCCTCATATAAGCGGACGTGCTCCGATATACAGTCCTCCGAAAATCTAATAAAGAAGAAGAAGACCGACCAGCGAGTTCGTCCGATATTTTTCCTCTTTTTTAATTATTCGTCAATTTAATTTATTCTCATAATTATTAAAAGATGAAACTATTTATAACTATTTTATCAATTTCTACATTACTATTATTACAGCCACACCCAACTCAAGGTAACTTTTTTCTTCGTTGTTTCTTCTTTGCAAATCCTGACCAAAATATCAAATCAAATTTAACTTTCTAATAATTTATCAACACACATACTAGAAAAGGTACCTGTCAAGACAAATTGTGTAGCTGTTTGACAGATACAGTACTGAACTGTGTGGTCTGACTTGTTCATCAAAAACCAGCAGTCACCTGAAAGAACTCTGTTCTTTGTAAGTACCCAATTTATTTGGGATTCTCCATTTTTTGATGGAACAGATAGCTAGGTAAACAAAAAACGGCTCAAATGGCTTTCTCTCGCGCGTAAAGACGAAAAAAAAAACAAATGAAAAACGTTTCAAGTGCTTTTTTCATCTTTTCCTCCAAATTCTTCATCCAATTCTCATTTCATTCAATCCAAGACACCTATTTAGGTCAATGGCAAGCACATTTGATTAATGATTCACATGTGAAATCAGGAAAGATTGAGATCCTATAAAACTTCCGCGTTCCAGTTAATCTAGTTCAAGGGCACCTGTAGTAGATTCGAGAAAAAAAACCGTTTTCAGTGGTGGCTATCAGTTTCAAGATGAAGATCGGTATCATGTCATTACTCTTGAAAATCGGATTCGAACAAACCCCCAAGGTCGGATTCCTAGTAGTAGTAGTGTTGGTGGCATTTAGGGGTTCAAAGAACCAATATCTAAGACAAAAGACACAAGAAAAAAATTGGGAAGAAGGACACCGTGATCGGTATCTTGTAAGGGCAAAGGAGGGGTGATTTTAAACTGATGAACTATTGAATCATGAAACTTATTGAAAAAAAAATCAACAAAGGTTATTCAGGGACCGAGAATACACCGTCAGCTGGAAAAGTATGTATGACCGTGGAGCATCTGAAGCCTGCTGACAATAGCACACAATTTTATGAATGTGCACCTTTGAATGAAGACGAAGTGAAGGGATATGCGCTGAGCAAGAAATATCTAGGCGTTTGGAACCTGAGAGATTGCCCGAAAGAACACGAATTTGATGAGCCAAAACAAAGATGTATTGAGAAGAAGACTTTCAGAAGGTTGGGATAACGAAACACACTTTGAAATGAACACCAAACTTTTCAGACAACAAGTTGCATGCGCTCAAAATGCCCAAGCTACAGGATGTGTTGCGTCTTGTCAAGGTATCCAGCAGAATTTCCTTCTTTGTTTCATCTCCAATTTTAGCCCCAACCGACGTTGCTAACCAAGGAATGGAGTGCAATTGGCGCTCATCTACTCTCCAGCGAGACCCTGCTAGCAACGCCTACTTCTTCCAATGCGTTCCATCCTCACCAACCGAAGGATGTGGAGAATGGACCCGAATGCAGTGCTCCCAATCTACAGTTTTCAATGCGGAACTTAGTGTCTGTGTTCCATTGGCAATTCAAAACTCTTGTGATAGTTCTACCCAACAACCAGTATGCAGTTGTTCTCAAGTCTCCAGCTCGTGCCCAGGAACATCTCAATGCCAGAATGTAAAAAACGCTTGTATTGATTTTTTTTTGAGTTGTTGCTTTTCAGAAAGTTTGTTGCCAACAAACCGATACATTGAATCTCAACAATCTCATCCAGCACCAAGCTCCTTGTGAGTTTTATTTTATTCATTCATTTTCCATCATTTCAAATTTCAGTGTGCCCTGGATCTAACGTCCCACCACTTGGATCGTGTAACGAGCAGTGTCCGCAGTGTAAGTTATTCGAAAACTGCATCCAAAACAGTTAAATTCTACAGATTCTGCCTGTACTCCCGGTCTCGGATGTTGTCCAGTTCCAGTGAATGAGGCGCCAACTGGAATGATCAAAATAAGTGAGTTGACCTGAAAATCTTCCTGTATTTTGATGGGGAAAAATCGGAAAAACCAGAAGATTTTGCGGTGAACTAGTTCCAATTTTAGCGATCGCCATAACGTTTTTTATTTATATTTCCAGATAGAAGTACTTTCTAACTGATTTTATTGCTACATGTCACTTATTCATCAGCTTTTCCAAGTTGAATTCCTTCGTATGCTTATGTCTCAATCGTTTTCCAGCCATTTTGCACTGTTTTGGACCGTTTATCGCTTTTTTTCTTCTGATTGAGCTCGACGACGGCGTTAGAAAATTGCGAATCCTCCATAGTTTCCATACATTCTGAAACTTTGAAATCAAAAATTCCTCCACTGGAAGCATCAAACAACTTATAAATAACAGTTTCATTGGACTGACTGCTCTATTTGGCGTGCAAAATAGAGCTGTTCCGCAGAGACACGCCGACTGCGTACCTTAGTGCGCACGATACTACGCGCAAACTATCGATTTTCCATTATAGTAATTTTCATAGTTCCGGGCTCAAATTTCAATAGTTTTCTCTTAATCCTGTGGCAAAAGCAATTTTCAGCCCTTTGCCCCGGATCCTACTCACCGCCGTTTGGGGTCTGTGGATCATGTCCATCAGGAACACAATGCAACGAACAACTCGCGATGTGTTGCCCTCTCCAACAGCAACCATCCACCGATATCGTCTACAACGTTGTTCTTCTCTGCCCTGACGGAACTCCATCTACGACTTCTTGCTCTCAAGGATGTGGACCAAATAATGCTTGCTTCCAAGGAGCTTGCTGTCCGATTAGATGCCCTGCTGGACAGGTATCACACTGAATATTTATGTATTTTTCTAGACTTATATGGTTCAGAACGCTGTTGGTTTCTGTTCTTCTGGATCGTGTGGTGCTGGAAGCTGTTACTCAAAAACAACGTGCTGCCAAGAACCGATCAAGCTTCCAGTGTGCTCGAATGGAATGATTTCACAGAAACGTTGCTTGGTAGCTGCCGAATGCGGACCAAATCTTGAGTGTTCCAACGGAGGATGCTGCCCAATTCCATTCTGCCCTAACGGAGTCACAGCTCGTGGTCGTTGCTCAGCTGTCAATGGATGCCCAATGGGACAAGCTTGCATGGAAGGTCTCTGTTGCCCTCTTCCAAGATGCTCTAACGGCATCACCTCTCTCGGAATTTGCACTAGAACTTTGGATTGTGGAAGAATCGGTGTGGACTGCCAGAACGGCGCTTGCTGCCCATTACCATCGTGCCCCAACAATATTGCATCCACTCAGCGATGTGCTGCTGGATGCACAAATTGTTGTCCAGTGGGACAGACATGTATGAATGGCGGATGTTGTGATTTGCCATCATGCCCAGCCGGTGGATTCGCAATTTCAATGTGTACCGGAAAATGTGGAACTGGATTTGAATGTGTTAACAGTGGATGCTGCTCACTGCCAAGATGCCCAAGTGGACTCATGTCAGTGCAAAGATGCGTGATGGGAATTGGTTGTCCACCTGGAAATGTGAGTTTTTGTTTTGATTTATGTTCCTTGGGAGCAAAAATTTACTATGAGAGAAGTAGCAAAAATCACAATTTGCAAACATGATTCTTGGTCATTTTAGCAATGCGAAAATGGAGTTTGCTGCCCAATGCCAATGTGTTCAAGCGGTAGCATTGCATCGTCTGTTTGCGGAATGGCTAATTCTTGTCCAATCGGTTATATTTGTGAAGGTTTGTTTCATTTTCACTCGACTTCGTTCTAATTAACTATTTCAGGCCGTGGATGCTGCTTGGAGCCTTTGCCATTGTGCCCTAATGGAGGAAGAGCTTCCATGAGATGCTACAGAGGCGCTGAATGTCCACCAGGCTATGGATGTACTCCATTGGGTATGTTATCTCCTCTAACAACCTGAAAAATAATTTAAATTTCTTCCAGGCGGCTGCTGTCTTCTGTCTATGGAACCTGTATGCCCAACCAGATCCAATGCAGTTTGCCAATGCTCGCCAAACAATGTTTGTCCATCCGGCTCGAGTTGTACTATGGGCACGTGTTGCTCCAGCGGCATAAGCCCTATTGTCTCGTTCAGTGTTCCTGGCACAGGATGCCAAAACTCGAATCAATGTAATGGATTCCAAAGCAGTTGTGCACAATGCGTTCAAGGAGTTTGTTCATGTGTCAATGGAGCAGCCTCAAATGGAGCTACGTGTGAGCAAATGGCGCCTACGATTTTGACGTTGGCTAGAAATGGATGTGACCAGTATGGATCTCCATGCAAGTTTTTGTTGTCAACGGCGAGAAGACGCCCATTATTTGCACCAACTGGAAATATGACTGAGTCTCCTTGTAAGAATAGATTTCAAGGAAACATTTTTACTTTCAATTTTATTTTCAGTGTTCTTCAACGTGGCATCCAAAAGGAAGTGTGTCGCCAACATTCAAAACTTTGATGCAGACTCCACCTGTCTTCCAAATGAGAAATGCATTGATGGAGAGTGCAGAATGTAAGAAAATTTTATTGGTTCGAAATATAATTTCACATTCTAGGAAACTCTGGCCAGGAGAATATGGATGTCAAACGGACACTGAATGTCAATCGAGATGCCCTAACACGTATTGTGAAAAGAAAAAGAGTGATAAGAATGTTCCACAGTGTCAGTGTGCCAACGGAATGCTTCTCTATGGAAGATGCTGTAGGTTTCAGTCTTCTAAAATTTCTAATCTATCTAATTTTTTGATTTTCAGTCTCCCAATGCCCACGCGGTTTCCATGAGTCTGGTGCCTTCTGTATGCATGACGATGAGGACAAGTTCTGGATGGACGCCGAGGCTCAAGACAATCTGAAAGCTCTTTTGAATGCTGGAAAGTGCTGATCTCTTTTGCTCCACGAAACACGGAAAACAATATTTATGTATATTTGAAATGTAATTATTTGTATTAAAAATTATTTTATTAAATCCATAAATATAATTATTAATGCGAAATTCAATAATTATGAGAATCTATCCGAAAAAAAAGAGATTTCCAGGTACCAAGTAGTAAGGAGACGATCAGTAGGAAGAGAGTAAATCACGAATTAAAAAATTCAAAGAGAAAAATGCTAGGTGTGACGAAGGTATGTGAAAAAGTTGGGTCCGTATCGGATTGAAATTTTAGAACCAGTGTATGAAAAGAAAATGGCTACGTTTTTCTGAGATTGAGGACGTCTAGGATAGTTTTTAATTTTGACACAAAAGGCAAAATGTTAAAAAATGAAGATTTGGAGGATTCACTCATGTGAGCAATTGTTGGTGTGAGCCGTGGAGTCGCCAATGATGTTCAGAAGAAGCGATCTGAATCTGAACCTTTACAGAGCATAGATATATCAATCTCAAAAAACGAACAAAGGACTTGACAATAGATGCATGACACAAATGTCAAAGACAGAGTGCGAATACTTGTTAGAAAAATACAAAGAAATCACTTTCACATTGTGTTAGACCACGTTCACTCACGTTTTTATGTGTGCCATACATCTACCGTTTTCAACTAACCTGGTTCTTGGCTGATTCGTGCTCTCTTTCTGACTGGCTCCTTCCCTCATCGTGCAGAATAGACAACACAACTTTTTCTTCATTTCTTTCCGGAAGTGTTTGCTAAAATTTTCTGGGGATTAGATTCACAAATGGTGTTCTTTCTACCTGCTCATGCAAAAAAGAAGGAAGTTGGCCACTTTGGAAATGGTAACAAGTGTGGTGAAGGCTTGAACAAAGTGGTACATGTTTTTGGTGTTGTAGAGGGTGCTTTGAAATTTTCTGGAACAAGGAACACGATTATAGTAATTAGTTTGGATCATGAATAATTTGATGAGTAATCTGACTCAGTGTTACATCGGAAGAAAAATTCGAGACTCGATTTAATTGCTGTTTGTCTGGAAAAGCTGTGGCAACTTACATGTAAACGTAGAGGCATGCAGATGGGACATGTGAAAGGATGTAGCAGGTCACAATTGCTATTACCGTATAGGTTACATGACGTTCTGCTTTGTTAATATGTTGATTCCAGACACCACTATAAAATTCAAAATTGGGTTAAAATGTCATGAGTCATGTGAGCTTCACCTGCTGGACGAATGATGTCGGACCACTTCCGATCGGTCGCTGGTTTCGTTGTTGAGTAAGGGGGCAGGAACGTCATCTGACTTTGTGGATGTTCGAACACTTCGGCTTCTCACAGGGAAGAAATGCTAAACTTTCAGAAATAAGCATTTTCAAATGATGTTTGCGGGAAAATACCTTTAACCTATTCCGAAGGTAGTAGATCAAACATGAGTTTAGCCCTATCAACAAAATGACCGGTATGCAAATATGTGTAATGAGTTGGATAATAGTGAATACGTGAATTATTTGTTGCTTTGTTGTATCATATGTCTGAAATCCAAGAAACGTGATTAAAAATTCTGAAGTTCTGTACGTTACCATTGTCCCGTTTGCAGTTTGATGATCGTTCAGCAACTTGAAATTCAAATGAAAACATGTCATTCCTGTGCCAAGAGCGATTAACGGGATTGTGATCCAATTATGTCGTGAGCAGAGTCTAGAACAGAAGAGATTATGACTCAGCGCGGCGAGTTTAAAAAAAGCTCACGATTGGAAGCGGGCAGAAAATGGAGCTTTGATTGCGTAGAGCCTATCAAACGACACAGCTACAATGAACCTGAAAATTTGGCCTTAATATTTTCATTTTGTCAGTACAATCATACCAAGTACTGGTAGCTGAAAACCAATTTGAGAAAAATGCAATATTGTGTTTGTATTGCACAAACATTAAAGCGAAATACGTTGGGCAAAGTTTTTTAGGATCATCTAAAAATTCATAAAAATATTGAAGGGATCAATAAAATCTACAAACCTTGACAGGGCTCGTAAATTAATGATGGCCACCTGCTCATCTGATTTGGGGACATCGCAACAAGATAAAGAATATCACACAGAGCAGCAGCAGCTAGCAATTGATTTGTTCTAGAATCAATTCCAATTTCAAAATTTGCATTCGATATTTTGGACTAACCTGCTTCTCATTGATCTGCTCAACAGGACAATCATTGTGATTATGTTACCAGCAATACCCAATACAGCCAAAAATGGAAACATGTACTCGCAAACGTTTGCGAGGAATTTGAAGAACTTTCCAAGTTCCATTCTGAAAAAAAAAGCAAATTGAAAAAGAGTTATTTTAAAAGTCATGGAGATAAATTGGACATGTACAAGGAAGAAGATTTTTGGAGAGAGAGAGAGAGAGAGAGAGAGAGAGAGAGAGAGAGAGAGAGAGATGGAATGATGGATGAATTTTGGGGATGAGAAGAAAAATATATATTTGGGTGGGACAGAGAAAAGAGAAAGATGATTCTATTGAACTACTCGGACATGATCTACGAGTTATTCAAAATTTGTGGTCTCTACTGAAGGAATGGAGGCATAGAAGAAGCAGGTGACAATAACAATTTTTCATTAGATTTGAGACCTTTGATAGTTTAACTGAATCAGTGAAAATCAGGAAAGCGTGACCTGTGCAGCTGTATTCTGGAACCTCGTCTAGGAAACAACTACAAAAGCTTCGACCAGAAAAACCATAGAAGAAAAGAGCAATAGTGCAAAATGACCAATGGCTCGCAAATAACGACATGACGCCTCCGGAAATGAAGAAGGGGTGCAAAGAAAAAGGATGTTCTTGCACAGGGGTGGGCAAAAAGGAGGAAGGAGATGAAAAAACATTCATCCTATCCACCCTTCTTTCTCCATAAAACTAATTTCCATTCGAGAAATGACCACGCCCCGAAAAAAGAAAGAAAGATATCGAGAGCAAATATTGCAAATTGAAAGAGGCCGCGCGCATAGAGGCATTCCTTTTTTTGAAACACACCATCAAAGTAATGAGTGAGACAGAAAAAATGGGGATATCTCGTTTTGAAATTGCCCTTTTTATAAATAGATAAAAAATATTGAGGACGTTGCATTCGAGATAATCCCTTTACTGGAAGAAGAGGGCAAAAACTCTGATGCAAGCATTCTTGAATTCTTGATTTTTATTCAACATAGGGCTTCATCATAATCTTCAAAACGATTTGTTGAAGTAGAAATGAGCAAAAGTGGCTTTGTTTGAAGAGTAATACATCTGTTAGGTGCTAAGACAGATGGGTACAAAGTTTGCAAATCTGGAAACTATTGAACTGTGTAAATGTGTAACGTTGAACTTGAATGTTACGAAAATTCCATTTTTGGAACTTCTACATCAAAATTAATTTTTTGTTGTGGTTTGTGATTCAAAAAATGAAATAAAAAGAGATTCCTTAAATTTCCAAAAATCATAGTTACATATAAACAAGAGAATTTCTATCTACTTTGGCCAGATGATCTTCAAGAACTATACTTGTTCTCAAAATTTTAGCTTTTAGTCAAAGTGAAAAATAGAAAGAAGCCAAGTGGATTATTGTATAGTAAATTTCTGGTTTGAGACCTCCACGATTCCCTTAATTCACGCTTCTGCACAAAATTGCACTTTCTTCATCGGGCCTGACGCCTTTGACGACAAAAACGCTGCTGGATACAAATCGACGTGCAGAAAGCAAGAAATGTTCTTTCCAGAAAGTGATCCATCAGCAAGATAACAAAAAATTGAGAAAAAAAAACGTTAATGAAAAGAAAAAACGACACTATTGCAGAACAATTGAATTGAAATTCGGTCAAGCGTCAGAGAAGAATCATCCTAACTTTTTATTGCACGAAAAGGAATATACTTCTTGAGTTTTATCAATATGAAAGTAACAAATATAGGGAAGTTGAAGGAAAAAGGAACAAAGCTGTGGTGAAAATATTCGGGGAAAACCCCTTTCCTGTGTCCTGTCTAAAAATGGAAATGACAGCTAGACTTCTGGGTAACTCAAAATCTTCTCAAAAACTGACTTCCAGTGACGTTTTCAGATTTCTGGAATATCGTCGGAAAAGATTAACCCACATAAGTTCAATGAGTACGCTTCAGTTGTAATCTCCAAGCTGTAAGCTGGCTACAAAATATTCTGCTAGGTTCAGCAATACTAAAAAACCAAAATATAAAGAAAAAAGTAAGAAGAAAAAACTACTCAAGTTTAAAGAACTATTAATAAGAAACTAAAAAATTGTGCGTTGAGTATGATGATGATGATTATTATTATTATTTCGAAGGCTAGCTGCTACACATTTGGTTGTCCAGAATAAAAAGGTTGCCCGGAGGGGATATAGTAGTCATATGAGACTACATAGAAGGTTCGAGTGGATCACAAGGGGGTCTTTTAGGTTGAATTTCAACACAGTCGTTTTTGCTATTCTTCAATTTTGTCTTCTCTTTCTTTTTGTCGCATTTTTTCATTTTCAGACCTACGAAAAAAATGACTCCGCCCCCTTGTGCAGCTGTCCACTCCTACACTCCTAGTTGCTTTTTAAATGTTCATGTTTTATTATTTTGTGTTTTCGCTTGCCCCTGTCATGTGAAGATATAGACCAAGAGGAAACCAGAATGAATAAATTTGGTCCCGAGACATAATTGCTGAAAAGAGACAAGACTGGTGAATAAGTGTATGAAGAAAGAGTAGAAGACAAGAAGAAGGAAGGAGGTGAGGAGCATCATCTCACGGATCTTCGCCTAGTCATCGAGATTTTTGTTTTGCTCTAGTGAAGGAAGAAGCACATGCCTACAGAAGCATGAAGCAATTTGGAATATGACAGAGGAGGAGAAGGAGGTGGTAGTAGAAATGAAAATGAGTAGCGGATTCTCTAAGAATCAAGGTTCGGAGAATGAGTAAGAATGATGTGAGGGCTAGAGAAGAGTTTGAAAATTTTACGAAATCTGAAGGAGAAAAGGAGAAGGAGAAGGAGAAAAGGGGAAGAGAAGGGTCCAATTAGCTGTGTCATGGAAACAAATGGAGTTAGCTATGACACAACAAAGTATGAGATACTCTTGGAAACAAGGGATTACTTGAAAGTCAGATAAAAATAATAATTTAACAAGAGCTAGATTTCTATCTGAAGTATCTAAATATGACCAAAGTTATGATATTTTATTATTATTCCGTATATTCTGAAGGTTTGTAACTTCACTGAATTTATTTTTTCACCACTGACCAAAAGATAGAGAGAAGTTTATGAGAACACTGCAGAGATATGATAACCTAGTTTAAAAAAATTTATGGCAAAACTGGAGAACAAAGAAAAGTACTATCAGAAGTGGAAAGTGCTACTGAAAATTGCTATTTTCACGCGGTTTTTCTTCGTTTTCGAATGACATTTTATACTTCTAGGGACTATCTTTTTAGTCTTCTCTTAAATCTAGGAGACTGAGCTTGTATTTCGAAGAACCAGCTTATACTTAAATGGTTGAAATTAGTTTTTACGGGCTGAGAATACTTCAAGCAAAACAGAGAATCAGCTATGTTCGTGACTTTCGGTTTCCACGAAAAATTCCCTTCAAAACAGAACAGTGTCGTTTCAAATTTATTGGCATTTAGGCAATTTTACCATTTTCAGACAAACATTTCATATTTTAACTCTTCTGACAGTCTTTGAACTTTGTTAGAATTTCAAATGAATTCTACGGTGTTTGAATTCGAGATAACTGTTGGTTTCGAATGAGAAAGAAAATTAAAAAAAGAACTCTGAGTTTCCGAATAACTTTTTGTCAGAAATCATGTTTTACAAAAGCTACAATCGAAAAAGAGTATGAAGCTAGAAAACAAAATACCAGTTACGACGTCTCAACCCACTCAATAAAAGGTCTCGTCTCAGTTTCTAGCCCCCATCTTTCTTAGTCAATCGACTCCATTTCTAGCTTGAAACAGATCAAATTACTACATAATCTTGCATAATCTTCGGCGAAGTCGTCACCGACCACCACCATGACCGCTTACTTTCGAAAATTTATGATAAATGAAGACAGCTGAGAAATATAACTCCAATTCTCAATAAGAAGCGAATATCTTAAATTAGATATTGGCCAAGGTGTCATTAGAGCGGCTGAGTGCTCTCGAAGGGGTTCTCTCAGGCTCCGCCCATCGTCTCGAGATTCTCAAAAATGGGTTTGGGTAAATATTGAAACATGGTGGCGGGAAAATTGAAATTTGAACGCGGCAGACTATCCTGTTCTGTTGGTTTCAATGTCAAGCAGTTTGTCTGATGGTGCAAACATTTGGTTACCTTAAATCTAAAAAAGATACTTGAGTAGGACAAAAATCTTTAAACCTAAAAAAAAGGTGTGACGTAGCGAATTTTTAGGTATGTGAAGTTCAAAATAAATTTCGAATTTTTATTTGGATCTTGAAGATATTAGCAAATATTTTAATATTTTTTGCAATATTTCGTGGCTTACCAGAGAAACGAAAAAATCTCCTATCAAATTGCTCATTTCTAATTATATGAGCAATTTATGAAGCTCCTTCAGTGGGGTCTTTCAAAAACAGTCGAACACTCTGGATGACATCACATTTCATGTTGGATGACAAGTTGGAGGGATAATAAGATGAAAACACTTGTAAATCCTATACCAAAAGAAAAATAGAGAGGGAGTCGAACCTACACGCGACTTCCTTTTTTGCATTATTTTTTTTTGAAAAAAATATCAAAGCTATGAAAAATTATTTTTTAGAAATTTTGAAAAGATTTTAGCATGATAGCACTTTCAAGGGGACCCATGGAATGAGGAAATGTGCTTGTGTCATCCAGATGAAACACTCGGATAGGGAAAGACAAAAATAAACTAGATTAAGTTCACCCGGATGCATAGAATCATCTATAAAAAGATTCTCCGATTGTATTTTAGAAAACGGAAATGGGTCCTCGTTGAAATTTTTAACTGGGAAATAAAGTCTTCCAGGTTTCAAATTTCTTGCCCCTTTCCCTCTTGTGTTGTCATCTGAAATAGAAATATGTGCTTTATGAACACAGAAAATGTTCATAAACCTCAGAAACAAATGACCATGTAGAAAAACAAGAAAATGTGTGAATTAAAAACAGGGGAAAACCAGCCACGTGCTAGTTGAACTACTACATGTTTTGGAAACATCTACCTTCTCAAATGTCGCACCTTTTTCGAAGCTCTCCGAAGGCACCGGAAGCGTGCGCGTCAATGTGGAATATATCACGATTCGCTAACCCAAGCATGCGTTCAGTTTTCCGGATTGGCAGAAACGCCTTCTTGCACTTTTCTTCCCTTTTCTAGAAATGTTAGAGTCGTGGCTTCTTCCGTGTTTTGGCGAAATTCTGTACATTTATTCGTCATAATTCAATACCAAAAGCAAGAAAATGATCACCAGTCGCGTACTAAGTTGAAGTTGGATTTAACTATATGGGGAAGAAGGGAAAGGAATGCATGGGGGAAGAAAAGCCATGGAAAAGAGGAGATTTGTCATCTCACTGTTGAAAATTACAGGTACATAATATTCAATATTCGATAATCAATGCGGTTTAGTGATAAGAATGTTATCATATGGACGGTTGCGTGGGCTTCTGGAGGCATAGCAAACACAATATATAACAAAACCCCAGATAATTACAGAGATAATGATGACGAGCACCCATAGTGCGAACCAAGATCGACGGTAAGCCGATAGCTGCACTCTTTCTTCATTTGTCAAATCTGCGTCTGGATCCAAATCAGTTTCGGAATCCTTTGACACGTATCGTGTTATCAACTCCGCCTCCGTGTTCCAAAATTGTGCATCCGGGAAGTGAATTTCTCCCTCGAGAAGTCTGAAAAAACACCACAATTACTCATTCGTCATAATTGAGGCAAAGACCAAAAGAATAAAAAAAATAAAATCCGAAATGAATCAAGAAAAAAACTACTCTATTTACTTGAGTGGAACGTCCACTGAGACGTGTTGGGTGTTATTTCCTGAGAAGACCGGCCATGAGAATCTGAATAATTTCAAATTGGAAGTTGAGTCATTTGAGTTGTTTTTTTCTATCTCTAACCTGGAAGTAGACGGATCTCCGGATTTAACAAAGTTTGTTAGCATTGTGCAAAGAATCTTAGACATGGTCTCCTCGCGTTTCGTGTATGGGGATATTTCAAAGTTGCTGCTGTACCCTCTGGAAAAGATGAAAGCATGGTCCAGACCATGGAACGCAGACTTGTCCACTGGAAAATTTTGAAACTTGATGCCCTGGGCAAAAAAAAAAACAGACAAACGAAACAAAACTCACACAACTCTGATTTCTCCGTACGTCTAGTCTCCACAGGTTTCGTTCCAAAGAGTGAGTAAATTTTGCGTTCCTGAATTATCATAACTGAAAGGCGGTGACGCAAAACACTCAATTACCGATTCAAGAATTGGACTCTTGGGTATGTAGTCAAATGAGTAAAGATACACGGGCACTCCTCGTTCGACGTAAGCAGAAACTTCTCGCTCGCACGGAGCAACAAATTCAATGTCGGATTCGAGTTTTTGCAAAGCTCCCACGGCTTGGTCGGCGTTGAATTCGGAATTGGGGGTTTCCAAGTACCTTAAAATATAGAATATCCGACTAATTGTTAAGTTTGACAGGGAAACGTAAACGCATTGTAAACTGAATTTACAATAAAGATTTCAAGATAATCTGAAAATAGCTTATCTAGACACCTCTGAAAATCTCAAATCCCGCTTACCAGTGTCAGCCGAGTTATATCAGTATCAGTGCCAATAATAACATTATTCAGTGTAAAAAACAGCTTTTTTTCTGAGAAAATAACTGTGAGGTGAAATTGCATTCGATTCTAATTCTAATACCACAACAAATTTCCAATTTTGAAACGTCCAAAAATGTTTAAAAATCGTCGTTCTGCACGATAAACTCGATTTTATGTACTGAAACAGATATAACGCCTGAAACTGGCGAGCGGTTTTGAAATATACAAAAGTATCTCGATAGACTATTCTCAACATATCTTGAAATATTCAGATCTGATTTGAAAGCTATTGAGGTTGCATTGTATAACATTTAATTTTGCTCCCTTTTATTTTTTATGCATTATTACCTCACAATTGTGGCATTGGCAATCAACTGGATAGTCGAATTGGCCAATTTTTCCGACGCAGTCTCATGAAAACTGTTATCGATAATTCTATAAACTTGCTCCTCAACGTCACTTCTCTTCAAGCTGTCTCGTTGGTGCATGTTATAGAACATAGCTGAAACCACAAAGACCTCATCAGTGAGATTGAACTATAATTCAATGAATGTCACATTACCCTTCTTGTGACCCCACTCCTTTCGTGCAACACCCGTCATGATGGGAATGCGTGCATTGTTGCGTACCAGGGACACTCCAGACGAAGGAATCAAATCTCCGTCGACTACCATTTTTGAGACTCCAAGCTGGAAATTTCGGTTGGGGTAATTTTTTTGGAGTTAGTGGTGTACCTCAGCAGATAGAGCTTTACGGAACAAAGGGGAGGAGAAATTGAGTTCCTTGCGAAGGCAGCTCATCTTATCCGGTTGTGACATATCATCCTATCAAATTTTGGAATATACTGGACAATTTCATACCACTTACAGAAAGGCAATTGATTTTGACATTCTGATAATTGCATAAAGACGAACGAATCACTGATTGGGTCAAATGTTGATATTCATCTCCAACCACTTCTTTGGTATCTTCCTCGTTTATCCATTTCTCACACCTTCAAACTTTCAGGTTAATTACAGAACTATTCTAATCTATCAGCAGCAAACATAGGGTCCCGTGTTAGCGAAAGCATGAGTCAATGCAACTGAAATATAGCTGGAAGGGGGAAAAAGAAGCGAAGAGAAGCAACTAGAAAACAAAACATTGAACATAGGGAATAGCTAGTTCGCAAAATGACTCGATTTATGTACCCCTCGTCAAGAGACCTGAAGTACGCCACCAAATTGTCCACAGAGTAGGCAGGTTGACTGTGTCGATGAATGGCCCATCCGGCCATGGAAGATCCACTCATGATAATGGCTTGATGGACGAGACCTGAGTATCAAAGCAACCAACTTAAACACACGACTCGAAAACTCACCAGTAGTTTTTGGAGATAGAGCAAGAAGACTTGATGCAGCTCCACCGGCACTTTCTCCCATTACAGTAACCCGCGTTGGATCGCCATTGAACTGAAAATAATTAGATAGAGGATTATGGAACAATCATTCATACCTGTTTCATGTTAGATTGAATCCATTGAAGAGCCATAACCATATCCCAGATTCCAAAATTACCCTCTAACTTGTCACCGTTTTGGAAATTCATAAATCCAAGAGGTCCCAAACGATAATTGATAGAAACAAACGCAATTCCCTTGGAGACAATGTTATTGGCTATAACTTCCATATCAATCCCAGTATCTGCTGATCCAGCCAAGAATGAACCTCCATGAATCCAGACAAGAATCGGGTAAGTTTTAGACTCATCATCAGTATCCTAAAACTCCTTCATTTCATTCCTTTTCAACTTCCAAATCTTACATAAGGACTGAAAACATTCAGGTACAAGCAATCTTCATTCTGTCGTTCCATATTCGCTTTTGCAAATTTGTCATTCTTATGGAAATCCATAAACTGAAGACACGGCGGACCATACTCGACAGCAGGAAGTTCCTGGTGCCAGCGAGTTTTTTTCACAGGTGGCTGGAAAGAGAAGATAGGAATAGCAAACAGCTGTTCTCGAAAAAAAAGAATTCGGGTTAGACAGAAAGTCATCATAATGACAGCTTTCAAAAAGGACGGTTATGTGAGAAGAAACTGAAAAACAACAAATGCTTTTTAAAGCCAGCTGTGTTTTATTGGTCAAAAAAAGGAGAGAGTTCAGGAAGTCAACCAACCTTCATTCTCAACTCTCCGATTGGTGGTTCAGCATAAGGAATTCCTCTAAAAATCTGAATGTGTTTCCCATCGATGTTGTAAATGTTTCCGCGAACGAGTCCTTGTTCAACCCATACTGATCTAGATTTCTCCAACAATTGACAGTTAACCCAACCAACAAGACAAATGAGCAGTAGCTCACGCATCTGCAACTTTGATAGTTTGGATGGAAAAAATAATCAGAGACGAAAATAAGTAGAAAAAAAGAGATTGATTGCAAGAAGACAACTTACTTCTCGGATGATGGGACAGGTAATCCGAGGACCCCAATACTCACGATATAAAACGAGAGGGGAGAGCAAAAGAAAAGAAAGATATAAAATCAGAGAGAAGAACAAGGAATAGACTTATGGATTGTTTGAAAGAAGATAGGGAAGAGCACAAGAGTTGAGATTACAACAGATCACCTCAAGGAGAAAAAGAAGAAGTGAGTGAAAAGGAGGCAAAAAGATATGCTGCGACGACTGGGGATGATTCCGGGGAGGCTACTCACTTTCTTTCACCAATGCCCTCGAACACTCACTTTGATTCGGCTCCATCTATTACATCTTTCTTTTTTCTGCCGAAACAATTGCAGCACATTTTTTGGGGTCTTGGAGGAGGGTATGATTGGCGTCGGTTAACGCAGAGCTTCAAATTGATAAATGACTTTTGTCATTTGGAGTGACTGGTGTTGGTCCTCAAAAAAACACAGAGTTGATGGCGAATCAACGTTTTCTCACGGCACGATGAGAAAATGGAGATTCGATTGGTTTCTTCTGAGTAATGAGTAGTATTTTATTGTGCGTTCTAGAAGAGTTTTCAAAGTTAACGTTTGTGAAAAAACTGGAATAAATCTGAAAAGTAATGTAAGCACGGGCAAGAAAATTTAAATGTTTTCCCATAATGGGCTATAAAAAATTTCCGGAGTTGAACGTGTAAAAAAGCAGGACAGATAAGACGCCGCTACCGAATAAGCCACGCGGTTGCAAAACTTCAATCGACGAATATGAAATGGATGTCAGATGTGAACCCCAAAAAACTTCAGGATTTTCCTGACATATTTTTCTCTAATATCACCAGTATTTCATTAGTTGACAATATAGTCTACACACTAACAACGAAGTTACACGGTATACTTACAAACTTACAAACTAGAATCCTGTCTACAAAGGTGGCTCATACTCATCACTCGCAGAAGCCAGAAGCCAAACCTTTCAAAATGACAATGAACCAAGAGCAAGAGCTCAAGATTCCTGCTCTTTTTTTCTAGTTGATTAATGATAAGTGCGTTCCATAAATCTTGGAACTTAGAAAAGTGGAAGTCATGAGTGACACGAAAAGAAGCGTTTTGATTTCATGGACGCCAGCTGCAGATGGAGTTAAAATAGAACGTGTTTTCATAACGATAACATTTTTACAGATTCTTGGAATTTGAAAAAGCAGGTTCACTGAGAGAAGGTGAAACATATCGAGGAGGGAAGATTTAAGACAATTTTGAGATCCAGGTGGAATTATGATGTACCAATTCGATAGAATGATATAGAAGTCAGTAAAACGTTTTGGTCTCGTTTCCATAAATCTCATCTCATAGTTTGTTTAAACTGAAATTAGAAAAGTATAGCGCCCAAATAGAAAAATAGCTATTCTGCAAAAACTGAATGTGGAGGATGTCAGAAAATTTCATGAAGAACAACACGTTACACTTTCCTCACATCCACAATCCCAAATCATAATAAGTCTTCCGAAAAACACTCAAAAGTTTGAAAAATTGTAGTTTTGACATATGTTTTTTCGAATACTTAACGACAATTAGAACTTTTAAACAATGTTTAAAAATATAGGAAAACCACTTTTGTAACGATAAGTTCTTCCAGATTTTCGTAGAAAACCTTAGATTGAAATAGTTTTTGAAAGGAGGAGTCCGGTTACTGCAATACGTCATTTGTCTTCCATTCCATTAATTTTTTGTGTTGAGACAAATTTACTTTGTTTGACTTCTTTCTTATTTTCACTTGAACTACCGCATGCGCTACTCAATTAGATGACGTTTTCCGAAACCAATTCTGTTTCAGAAATTCAGTTATCTTATAAAAAGAACTCCATCGAAGCAATAGAATTTGGTATGTCTGGCGTTTTTGTAGAACTATTGCGAAATATATCTGAAAAAAATTTAATTGCCGATATTCATTAGTAAAAAAATAATTCACAAAAAATAGGAAAACAAAAGTTCACAGGAAAGAATGTGGGAGAATCGGTGAGATGACTGGCTGGGGGGCGAAGTATCTGACATGGAAAACCGAGTTCAGTTGGGCGTACGAGGAAGATGATTGGCAAGAAATTTTTTCTTGCAAAGCTGGGATCGGAGACAGTAAAGCAAAGGAATAGGACAAAATACAGACAATGGAGACAAAAGTGGATAATATGACTAGGTACGGTTAGATAATTTTGGAAAGTGCTAGGAAAGCAAAAGAAACTATGAAACTGGAGTAGTAGTGCGTTCCCCAGATGGTCCAGGTATGGGAGAATGGGTATCCGATGGCCGCGTAATCATCGGTAAATGTCATTCCGGTGAACACCAAGTGATACATTGAGAGGATCATGAAGAACAAGTTGATGATGAGGACGCGTTTGGAGAACTGAAAAAATATTTTTGAGGTTTCAAAATTTTCAAAATATTTTTTCATATTTTTACGAATAGAACGCTCATTTTATTTTTTGCACTGTTTTTCTTAAATTTTAGTTATCGCAAAACATAAATTCGATTTTTATGCAACCTGCATATTGGCAAAGTTCAACATCATTTCCTTATCAGCTTTTGCCTTTTTCTTGTCACTATGCGCATCTATCAAATTTAGAAAAAGTGTATTTGCGAAAAGGGATATTGACACAGTACTGTTCAACCTTGCGAATTGAAAGAATTGACAGGTTATTTTCTAGTTTTGAATTTCAATAGATTACTTATTCTTGAGTGAGAAATGGAGTGTCTGATAGAAACCGCATTTTGAGCGATCGAATTGATAAAAATGAAGATATTGAGCAGTGAGTTTCCAGAGATTGATGTCGAAAATGTTTAAAGACTTCGTATCAGCAGAAAGTATCATGCGTAGATATCATAATATTAACTTCAATTTTATCTTCTGGAGCTTGTAATGCTATACAGACAGACCAAGCTCCAGTCCAAGAATTGGAAATTGTTTGTTTCTAGACTGAGATGCTTGAAAAGCAGAAACGGAGATGTTTCGAAACTTTCATTCTTAAATGATCAGAAGTTCTACTGAAGAATTTTTCAAAAAAATACGGTTTTTCTAAAGTTTGACAAACTCACCGAGGCATGCTTATGCTTACAAATACGACGATTAGCACGAACCGAACATGGCTTCGCAGCAACACACATCGAAAACCGGTCAGCGATTCGTTTACGAAAGACTGAAATTAATTGAGTGATTAACTGCTGAAACCTCAACGATCCACTCACCAGTTTCAGAATAGGCGATGAATCCAAGAGCTAGTAGTGTGAGCCACATTTGGTAATCACGAGCATGGAGCAGCGCGCTGACAGCAAAAGTAAGAAGGACGTTGAGAGCGGTGGATTGAAAGAAGCGGCGTTTGAAGATATCTGCAATTTCAAGTTCGTACCGTTTTCATGTTTTCGGAGAAGCTCACTCTCGTGAAGATATGTGTGGAATGGCCTGTTCCATTCGGACACAGTTTGCAAAGTTGATCTCGAGAACTCAATATTCACCGGGTTGGCGACAACGATTTTTGATCCGAGAAACATGGCGAACGCTGTAAATAAGAAAATGATTATTTTCACTTGCAATTAGAAGAAACCTTGAGTGGAAAGGCAAATGAAATAGTGGCTGCAGCGGAAGGACATAGCTGTGAGAGCGTCTTCAACAAACTGGGAACCAGGCTCGAAGAAATCCACGTAACAAGAGGAGATGATGGCCAGAGTGATTCCAATAAAAATCAGCACAGATCCTTGAACGAATACTCCCAATTGTTCCTGAAAAGAATTTTGTTAATTTTATTTTTACGCTTTTTCCGAAATTTACCTCAAAGCGAGTCCATTTCTTTTCTCTCATCTTCACAAACTGATCGAAGGTCACGTATGGTCCAAAAATGATAAATGGCGGGAAGTAGATGTATTCCAAGTACAGTGTGAGCTGATCAAAGCTGATACTCCTAACATTCGAATCTACGATAGCGAACGACGCGGTTGAAAGCCTCATAATGTGCATCATCAAAACTCCACGAAGTGTCAGAAAGTAATCATCGGCGTTGGCGCGGCTGCAGATGTTTTGCCTAAAAGAATCAAATCACTTTCAATGGTTTTCATCTCAAAACTGACAAAGCTATCAGAAGCATGATGTTCAACCCGAGAATTCTGTAGCCATTTAGCTTCTGGACAGCGCAGAAGAGGGAGATTAGACTGAACGTGTGGAAGATCATAACAGACTCGAGTTTTTTCGGTGAAAACCAGGCGACTGTCAGAGTTGTCATGGCGATGTGCAAAAATGTCTGGATTCGTGGTGGGAGTGCTGAAACAAGGAAAGTTTAAATTGAATAATGCTATAGATTGATCAGGTCCCGCTCTACAGTGCAAAGCATTCAGTTACGGATAGCAAATGCGTTTTGAAAACGTTTATCAAACTGTGTAGTATATTGTCACATTTCAACTCAAAACTCAATTATAACTTTAAAAAAACAAACTTACAAAGTCTCCATACCAAAAAGAACATCCAAACCAAGACCAACATTTGCAGAAGTGTCAGAAGCGTTCCATTCGCAACTTGTGTTGCACATTCCTCTACTGATTCACCGTACATCTCGAACAAGTTATCCAAGTTTGGATCCAGATGGTGATCCATCTGAAAAAAATCGAAATAAAATTTAAAGATAACAAGTTTTCAAAAAAAATGAGAGAAACTAGAGCGAAAACATAGGAAACAGGGAAAAGAACAATTGAAAATGACTCACTGCCTCCGAGAACACCAATATGACTGTGTGAGTTTAACAGAGCGCGTTTGCTGCGTTCAACTGTCGAACAGAAAGGGGGACGCGGTGATGTGGTGTTGGGACGGTCATCGTGGTGTATGTATGAGGCGAAGTGAGGTCAACCGACAGCTGAGGGTGGTAAAAACGAAGAAAAAGAGAAGGAGTTTTACGATCGGATGGCCTAAAGTACAACAGAGAACAAGTAGGAAAAGAGAGAACTCAATCAGAGAAATGGAAACCTCAAAAGGCACTGCAATAGTTACATGGAAAGCGTAAAAAAAACTGGGTGTCCCGCAGTTTGTAATTTGAGGTTTCTTCAAGTAAAAGGTTATTCAACGAGATGCGGTATTCACGAAACATCTCGAATGGTCTAAATTGCGTTTGAACACATTATCGGACCTGAAAAATATTCCCAAAATATTGATGAAAAATATAGAAGTATAGATAATTGCCAACAATTCTTGTTGGAAAGACAAAGGAAAACGAAAAATCGTTTATTTATTGCTGTCCGTCCGTCTCATCCTAAATACAAACCAAATGTTTTTTTCAAGGCAGCGGAGAAAGACGCAAGCCTCTTCGAACACATACAGGCAACACCAGTATCCACCCAAGGAAAAAGACTGCGGCCTTGGTCTCTTTGCGTCGTCATATCCTTGACACACCTCGCACCTATCTCTTGTGGGGGTATAGCTCAGGGGTAGAGCGCTCGCTTTGCATGCGAGAAGTCTGGGGTTCGATTCCCCATACCTCCAGATTACTTTTAAACTTTTTTTTGTTGAAATGGGTATGTATGGAAAATTGGTGGTAGAAAATCTCACAATGGAGAAACATATTTTGAGAAATTTAAGTTCTTTTTTGGCAAACCGTCAGGGATTTTATTAAAATTAGTTTGTCTAGAGGAGAACTTCGTTCACGACGCTTCAGTTAATCATTCTGATTGTTAATAATTGAAGTTGCGTCTTTTCTCTCTCTCTTTGTGTCGGTCAGCACAATTTTCAAAAGCTTGAAAATTGAATATACAGTGCTCCACAAAATGATAGGTTCACCCCCAGGAATTTTCGAAAATCGAGAATTTCGAAAATTTTCAAAACGGTGTTAGTACTAAAAGTATGCAAAAATGAAACTAATATTTGTTGAAAAACATTGAGCTCGAGCCATTTTTACTTTTTGAGAAAATCCGAAAAATTCGAAATTTGACAAAAAACAATTCCACAAAATGATAGGTTCACCTATCAAAATTCTTGGAGATGTCATAACTAATTTTTTGTAAGGATTTACCAATTCCCATATTGGAGCCCTATTCCATGTGGGGTATTGAAGATGAGGTTTCATTTTATTCAGAGTTGTTTTTGGGTCAGAACTGGGTGATTAGACAACAATTTCATTTAAACACCATTTTTCACTCAACCAAAAGCTCATGCGTTTCATAAAAAAAGCACAGGTTTGAAGCAAGGTAAGATAATTTTTGGGATATTTTTGGAAAACGCTGAAATCGATTCTGAACCAAGTTTTTGTGCTAGAACTCAATTTTTAATGCGGAAAATGAGCTAATTGGCTCTGTAAAAATTGATAAACATCAAAACAAGCAAAAAAATGCTTATCCGAATCTCAAGGGTTAAATTTGTTAAAACACAGCTAAGCTTAATCCTGATTTTCAACTTTTAAATGAAACACATGAGCTTTTGGTTGAGTGAAAAATGGTTTTTAAATGAAATTGTTGTCTAATCACGCAATTCTGACCCAAAAACAACTCTGAATAAAATGAAACCTCATCTTTAATACACCACATGGAATAGGGCTCCAATATGGGAATCGGTAAATCCTTACGAAAAATTAGGAAAATTGTAACCGCTTGTTTCCAGTTGTGACAAACAACAGAAAATAACAAAATTAAAACATCAGACGATATTTTGACACTTTTGGAAACCGTACTGGTCGGAATGAGCGGATTAAGAAATCCATTCGAACATTCGATGAAAAACCCTTCAAAACGGACCGAATGTGAATATGAAACATGGGATTTCAGTGGAATTTGTTTCAAAACGGTTGATTTGACGTTTTCTGAGCATTGGACCCGCTTTCCGGCTCGATGTTATGACATCTTCAAGAATTTTGATAGGTGAACCTATCATTTTGTGGAATTGTTTTTTGTCAAATTTCGAATTTTTCGGATTTTCTCAAAAAGTAAAAATGGCTCGAGCTCAATGTTTTACAACAAATATTAATTTCATTTTTGAACGCTTTCAGTACTAACACCGTTTTGAAAATTTTCGAAATTCTCGATTTTCGAAAATTCCTGGGGGTGAACCTATCATTTTGTGGAATTGTTTTTTGTCAAATTTCGAATTTTTCGGATTTTCTCAAAAAGTAAAAATGGCTCGAGCTCAATGTTTTACAACAAATATTAATTTCATTTTTGAACGCTTTCAGTACTAACACCGTTTTGAAAATTTTCGAAATTCTCGATTTTCGAAAATTCCTGGGGGTGAACCTATCATTTTGTGGAGCACTGTAGAAGTGACTTTTTGAGGGAGAAAAATCTAATATGAGCAACGGCGCACCAGCCACGCTAGTATAAATAAGCGATGTTTTATTGAGCAAATGAATATTTTTGAACGTCACTACTGTGGGTTGAAAAAATGAGAACTGCAATATTTTCATCTTTTTGTGCCGATTTCCGAAGTTCGAATTCTTCAGACACACCAAACCATGCCCTCATCGTCTAATTTATCAGACAAACATGATAGTGGAGAAACTTTACAATGAGCCGAAGAGAACCCTTGAAAAGACCCCAATCAATCAATACATCCAAGTGTGTGTCAGCTGGTGGCACTTCTTGCACAGAAAAAACTCAAGCCAAGCAATTTTGTCTCTCTTTCTGTTTCTCTTTCTCAAACAACAATTTCATAGCACCAGTGTGTCACATGAATAAATGCGTATTTTACTATTATTATACCTATTCACTACTTTAACCCCATCAGTTCGATCACTTTCTTGTCCGGAAGTAACCCTATCACAACGGCCGAAACATTGCAAGAAGGAATGTATTGCGGACGAGGACTGCAAGCGACACAAACGATGTATGTGCGATGGAGAATGCGGTTTGAGCTGTGTGAACCCCAGTGAGTTATCTTATAAAAATTAAACGAATTTTTTCGCTGTATCTTTTCAGTCGCCATGTGCCACCCGCTACCCAGTATTGAGAATGGATTTATCAGAACTGCAGGGGATTTGAGGTTTGGGTCGAATGCGGAATACGGATGCAACAAAGGATATATTCTGGTTGGAGCAAGTCAGAGAAGATGTCAAGCGAATAAAGAATGGAGCTCATCACAACCAGTTTGCAGGTTGCAATGCAAGTTTTTTTTTTGGAATTAAAAAAAATTAAAATTTTCAGTGAAATGCGGACCACCACCAGAAATCCCATTTGCTGTTCACGATGGATCTTCATTTTCTGGGGAGTACGATTTGGATGCAGAAGTGGCATACAATTGCATACCAGGATATCATAAATTCAATGCGAAAGTACGTAGAAAAAAATTTAAACAAAATAGGACACCGCTTTTCAGGGTCTTTCCATTTCCAAATGTCTTTTAAATCGAAAAAATGTTGCACAATGGTTTGGACCAGACTTGCGTTGCAAAGGTAAACATTCAAAATATTATATAATCAAATTATTGATTTTGTAGCAAGAGCTTGCCCAGACCCAGGAGATATTGAAAATGGGATGAGAGAAGGAGACTCGTTCGAGTACCCTCATCACGTAAAATACTCATGTAATCCGGGTTTTTTACTTGTCGGATCAACTTCTCGTCAATGCTCCAGCAATGGAGAATGGACGAATGAGCCAGCAAATTGCAAAGGTACGAGTTTATTTTTAAATGAAAAGCCCGTGACTATTCTGACACCATATGGAAATTTGTATTTTGAGTGTAACTAGGAATCACATAACTATTCGGACACAGTAGACGTGACGTCATGAAACTACATTGCAGCTACCGAGTGCTCCCGCCCTTCTAGCCCTCTACATGGAAAAGTTGTCGGTAGTTCACTGACTTACCAATCCGTCGTTACTTACTCCTGCGACCACGGATACCGATTAGTTGGTCAGGTGCAGAGAATTTGTCTAGCTGAAGGAATATGGGGTGGGAACGAGCCTAGATGTGAGGAAATTCGATGCCCCGTCTTGCCTGCCCTCCCGAATGGATACATCGAGGGGAGTGAGACCTCCTTTGGTGCGGTGGCCGTTTTTAGGTAGATTGGATTGACATGGTGGCTTCTTCACGAACTTTTGAACTTTTAGATGTCTTGAAACGATGACTCATGAAGGGGCCAGCAAAGCTAAATGCATGGAAGATGGACAGTGGAGTGCTCCTATGCCTAGATGTCTAGCTTCTTGCCGAGTACCAAATATTCAAAATGGAAAAATTAAAGAAAAGAGTGAAGGCCAACTAATTGCATCTGGTAAGAAATTCTGGCTTCAGAAGTTGAAATAAATTTTAAAAGTTCTTTAAGGATCCAAAGTGATTGTTGAATGCAATAAACAACACGAGGCAAATATTGATGAACGGCTCATTTGTAGTAATTCCACTTGGTCACATGTCCCAGTTTGTAGCCCTTGTGAGTTTTCAAAAAACAAATTTTATAGACTAACCTAACAATTTATGACAGTAAGCTGTCACAACTGGCCACCAAGAGTACCCCATGCTAGAATTCTTTTCTCAAAGTCTTCTCACGGATCCATTGCAAAATACGAGTGCAATAATGGATACCATCCGAATAGAAACAACCAAATTATCAAATGCCTCTATGGAGAATGGACAAAAGATGGGCCACCAATGAAGTGTCTACCTAGTAAGTCAATCGTATTTTTCCAAGAAAAAAAAATCAATATTCAGGCTGGTGTGAGCACCCCAGCAAAACCTATGGAACACTTCCGGGCGGTCAAATCCTACTAGAAGGGATTCTAGGAGCTTACGAGTTCCAAAGCTACATCCAGAAGGTCGAGGAAGGTCGCGCGATCAGTTTTCAGTGCAGTAAAGGAAATTATTTGATAGGTAAATTTATTTCCGTGAAAACTAATTTCACAACACGTTAAGGACCACCAAAAGGAACATGTGTGAATGGAGAATGGATGCCGAAAGTGTCCCCAAAATGTGTGTCACAAACTCATCCTATGATTGAAGGAAAAATTCTATGGGATCGAAAGAAGCGAAGCTTACCGAGTAGACTGAGGCGGGAAATCGTGGAAGATGGTTGGTTTTCAGATGAAGGCAACTGAAAAAAAGTTCAAAAAACTTCAGAAATGTCTTATAATCGTCAGCTGAATGGAAAATGTTTACTGGTTCCGGGAAAGTTAGAAAGGATGATTGTGCAGCATTCGGAGAATGGAATTTCGGTCTGTTCATAGTTAGAAGTAAAATGTTTCCAATATTGTAATATTCTTGAATTCTCATCAAACACGGCACATTCAAAAACTACTGAGAAACAAAAAAAAGTATCTGGAGGTATGGGGAATCGAACCCCAGACTTCTCGCATGCAAAGCGAGCGCTCTACCCCTGAGCTATACCCCCTCTCAAATAAATACACAACTGGTCACAAACACAAAGCAGTCATTCGACAGATTACACAATGAACAGAGAGACCATCGACGCAGATTGCGTAGAGAAAAAAAGAACACACAAAGAAGGGTTGCCGTTTCATTTTTCACCTTCTAACATTTTAAACATTTTTTCTCACACTTGAAATTCGGGAGCATTATGTGTGTTCAGGTGATTTGCAGGGACGGATACGAGTTTGCTAGCGAGCGGATCGTTGGAAAATCCACGTGTATTGACGGGAAATGGCAACCTGAAATTGCCGAGTGCATACCAAGTATGAGAAATTTCATTTCAAAAACAGATATTTAAAATTTTCAGAATCATGTCGAGTGCCAATTCGACTACATGTGTTTTTCTTAAAATCGGGTACATCACAAATATTACAATCAAATGATGTTGTCGAAGACGGGACGATTGCTCAGATGGCTTGCCTACGTGGATTTCATTTGAGTGGAAATGGAGTTTTGGAATGTGTCAAAGGAGAACTCAAAGAGCAATTGGGACATTGTGTGCCACGTGAGCATTTTTTATAATTAAAAAAACTTTCGAGGTTTCAGAGGAATGTGTATTGTCTGAACTGATTGTTGGAAAATATAACACCACAGCTGAAACGGTGAAAAATGGGGAGAACGTATTGTTAATGTGTACTGGAACCAATGTGACTATCACTTGTTCTAAGGGAAGTCTGAATCCAACACCTTCCTGTCATGAAAACGGTAAATCTAATCATGAATATGTCACATATTTTGTTTGTAGAGTCTCGCTTCTGCATTGCCCCCCAAGACACTACACCGGCAATTATCTACAGGTATCATGGTCTGAAAAAGACTCATATTGATAGGTACCAATCAGCATATCCAAATGGGACGATTTTCCAATTTAAGGTGACAATTACTAGTTTTTCCTTCTGAACATATGATATTTGCAGTGTAACGATAAAGAGGAAGCAGGTGGTATTGAATGCGTCAATGGAGAATGGGTTAGCAATTTACTGCCGTGTGGTGAGCAATTCTCAAACATTTTGAACGTTTTTTCATAGTTCCTTTCCAGTTACTGCCAACATTACCGCCTGGAAATCGCCAAGCAACGAAGAAATGTGTGCACCACTGAGACTGGAAGGAAACCAAAAAATATTCAATGTGAATTATGTACCCCATCCAATGCATCTTTTTGCTCATGGAACCATATTGAATGTAAGCGGATTGTTCAGACTTCAGCATTTTGTTAAATTTTCAGGTTGGCTGCTCCACGAGTGATTCCGCAGAAACGGTTCCCATAAAGTGTCGGCGAGGAAAGTGGGGATACAAAAAGAAGTTGAATTGTTCAAAAAGTAAGTGTTATTTGAGTTTTATTTTGGTGAGATTTCTATTTTATACTTCAGTTGAAACGACATGCTCTCTCAAAATGAACATCAATTCGCACACTGTAATTTATCATGTACAAAAGAAGGAAACCGTTTTATTCAACCAAAATTTCGAATCAGGATCCAAATTATTGTTCCGCTGTGCTAACATTGGTCTCGAACAGTTACATGGAAAAAAGGAGTTGCAGTGTTACAATGGAGTATGGAGCAGCCCAATACCTTATTGTATACCTATAATGGCTAGTGGTAAAGCTTTCATCTGAAGCCCATAAATAAACATTTTCCCAGGAACCAGTGTACCTATAAAGTATTCCGTCACCTATGGCACTCACGCCATCTCATCGAAGGGCGAACTGATTGTATCCAGAGCGGCAAATGTGAAATTGGCATGTCTCACTGAGAAAGTGGCATCGGATCCAATCTGGGTGAGGAGAAATTAAAAGTGGTCATGAAACTGGTAAGATATCTTCTTCAGAAAGTCACTTCCACTTACCGCTCTTATCCAACACAGTGGACTAAAGCAAAGACTGGAGATTACGATGATATCGATGGTTTTGAAGTGGGTGTTTTTTTGGAACAATAAAGATATCATGGCTGTATTTCAGGTGTCAATTGCTAGTGCGCAACCATTTGACAGCGGAATGTTGCACTGTGTACTACCTAACGGTGCTCGGAACTCTATAAAACTTGTGGTTAATGGTATTCCTCAATTTTCATCAATTGTCTATTTTTAAAAAATTTAGAGGACAAATGCGCTCTTCCTTCTTCTTCACCAAACCTTCAAATTGATTTGTCGAGCCCAACTCTTTTTGTGGGCACTGTTGTTCAATTCTCGTGTCCATCAGGATACTTTGTTGAGGGAAACTCAATTTCCACCTGCTTAGAAGATACCACATGGAGTCATCCGGTACCCAAATGTGTTGGTAGGCTGGGAAAAAGAAGAATACTGATTATTAAAGAAGTTTTTTTTTAGCTGCACAATGCCCAGCCGTTTTTGTGAATGGAACACGAATGACAGTTACAGTAACCTCGTACCGAACTGGAGGTGTAGCTCATTTCAAATGCCATAAAGGGTATAATAGCCCCTCAATTCTTTAATGAAATCATTCTTCAGATTCACACTGATCGGTGAACGAAACCTCCATTGCACTAATCAAGGAGTTTGGAGTCACGATTTTCCCCACTGCAACGTCGTCAACTGCCCGCCGCTTCTGCCACCTGCAAATGGTCATTTTATCGGCGAGCCTAGAGAAATCTACACAAAAGGAGACATTGTTCTGCTTGGATGCCTTCCAAACTACATGTTGACCGGCGGCGACTTCTCCGTCTGTCAAGCCGATGGAGAATGGAGCGAGATCAAGACTAAATGTTTGTTTTGGATAAACTAAACTAAAACTGGTTTTTTTGTTTTTTTTAGGCGATGGATACTGTAGGCATCCCGGGCAGCCTGATCATGGAGCCACTACTACAATCGCAAAGGATTATTATTCTATTGGAGAGAAAATTGTTTTCTATTGCCCTTCCCAAAACTACAAATTAAGTTCTGACAACGTTTTAATCTGCACCTCGCCTGGTCAATGGTCGCGACGTCTTCCACTTTGTCTGCCATCGAATTCCTGAAAAAAATTGGCTGGCTAATTTATGAAAAATTCCTATCTCCCTTCCTTGTCTCCAGCAACACAATTTTCAATTTGTCGTTAATGTTGTCTGGAATGACGATTCATTTATGAAGCCGTCTCTGAATAAATCAGCTTTTTTTGACGAATCCGCTGAAGTGCGTTGTATGCAAATAGATGCTAATCATGTTCGGGTTTCAACATTTTGTCCGCGTTTTCTCATATGAACCCGGACCCGTATGAGAATGCATGGGAATGGATAGACATTTTTCCGAAACGGGGCGGCAGTGTTGCGTAAGGCTTCAATAACAGAAAAGCAGATAAATATCATTGCGACCAGGGAGATTGATTCTGGTTTCCCAAACTGGATCTTACCACAAAAAAGAAAAGAAAACTATTGAAGTTTTGAATCGTGAAAGTTGAAAGAAGATTTCGAAACGAACATGTAACGTTTTGTACCTATGAAAACAAGTACGAAAGAAATACTACAGTATGAACCCACGAGAATGACAGAAACTAATGATTCACCAAACGAAAAAGCCCCTTCACCAGTCTTAAAATAGAAACTGCGATTATTCAGAATTCCGCTAACCTCCCTGCCCAAAGTGTTACTTTCCTTGATGGCATTCCATTCTTTCTTTATTCTTCCCTTGTTTCAACTACTGGTTCACTCTTGGAAATTCCGATTTGTGTTTACCGAAGAAAAAAAGGTCATACCATCTATCTTTGGCATGTATCAAGATTATAGATGTTGATACTATTTGAAAGGTGAGAGAGGGAGAAGAAATGAGAAAATGCAAATTGAAAAAGACATGAAACCATCAATGTGGCGTGACGTAAGCGTCTGAAAAAATTGCCTTTTTTGATAGTTCTGGTTTTTTCTTTGTTTCTGGCCAGTATTGGATCTTTGAAACATAGAGATGACAAGTTTTGATTCCTGATAAAATGAAAAGTAATCCTTCAATCACCACTAGAGCTTTGTCTATTTGATGGGTTGACTTTTAGGATTGACAACACAAAGAGAAGAGAATTTCAAATTTAATTTTTTTATTTTCAGGCAATTTTATCCGTATCAAAAAGCTTGCTATAAACGCAAGCTGACAAAATACAAGGGATAATAAAGAAATTAATATCCTGGGGCAGTTCTTGGTGGTGGGCAGTGATCGCAACCTCCTGGGGCTCCGGTCTCTCCATCGGCTCCATTGTCTCCGTTGGCTCCTGGCTGTCCTGGAGCTCCAGCGGCTCCGTTGTCTCCGGCTGGTCCCTGTGGTCCTTGGGATCCTGGGTTTCCTGGGGCTCCTGGGGATCCGGCTGGTCCAGCTGGTCCGTCTGGTCCTGGTGCTCCTGGGGCTCCGACTGGGCCTGGAACCTCGACGACCTTTCCTGGGGCTCCTGGAGCTCCGGCGTTTCCTGGGTGCCCGTCTTGCCCAGCTTGTCCTGGGGCTCCTGGTCCTCCGGCGTTTCCGTTGTTTCCTGGGGCTCCTGGTTGTCCATCGGATCCTGGGTTTCCGTTTGGTCCCTTTGGTCCAGCTGGTCCGGCTGGTCCGGCTGGTCCAGCTGGGCAGTCGAAGCAGAACTCGTGGTGTGGGGCTGGGGTGGCGGCTGGTCCGTCTGGTCCATCGTTTCCTGGGGCTCCTGGTTGTCCATCAGCTCCATCTTCTCCGTCTGGTCCTGGCTGTCCTGGTGGTCCAGCAGCAGAGACTCCGCATCCGCAGCATCCTCCTTGGTGGGAGACAGATCCTTCAACTCCAGCGCTCTCGTATCCAGCTTGACGGCGGGATCTGAGGGCTCCTCCAGAGACCTTGGCGAGAACTTGGGTACGGGTAACCTCTCTCCAGATGTTTCCAGAGCGGGAACGGCAGAAGTCAACCTCCGATTGCATAACGGATTGCATGTGTTGCATGTAGTTGTAGAGCATTGGGGCGGCAATCACGCACACCAAGACGGCGGTGAAGGAGACGGCAACTCCAACAAGAGCCACACGGCGAAGGGACGAAGCCTCAATTTCGAGTTGTTTCTCGTCAGACATCTGTAATCAGAAACAGTTGAAAAAGTCGTAGGAAGAAAAGCTAAAGAGCTAGGGATTGGAATCTAGAACCCATCAATGGATTACGGTAGGGGTTACATAGCAAAAAACAAGACCTATCCAAAAAAGGTAAGGACAAGTTAGAGATAGGGAAAATAATGCTTACCGTATTTGGTTTGATGAGATTGCCCACCTGCCTTCTGTCCTTCAGTTGCTTCCTTTTATATGGCAGGTAGGCGGGCGATCTGACAAAGGCGAGAGGCGTCGAGGGTGTGTACGAAGAACAGAGACGACGGACAGGCTAGCTACGAAATAGCAAGGAGGAAGAAGCGAGACTGGCATGCCAAGGTCGTGACGCTGTTTCAGAATCACCCTTTCCAATTTCTACTCATCTCATCTTCTGATGCTCTTTCGTTGTTTCTGGCCCCCACTGCTGCCCACCCATCTCGGGGTTATCGTTATCAGAAGACAGACGTTGAAACCTATCTTCCTTTCCGTTTTTTTTCTCTCCTGCAGGTATGAGTGGTTCGATGGAATGATAGTAAACGACAACGATGAACCCGGAACCTAAGCTACTGTAGGAAAAATTTTGAAAAATCCGTTGCAAATCCCTTATAATTTATGTCAAAAAGTTTCAGATTTTTCGACATCATCGACTGTAATAACTTGAACAATGACATTTAAGAAATACGAAATACCGTAGTCATTGTCATTGTTAGGTTTTCCATACAACACCATTGTTGTTGACTGAATAAGGATTGACTCATTCGTTTTCTTTTATTTCCAATTTATTCAAGTCAATTTAAACTATACAGTTCAGGTCAAATTCCAATCAGTCAGATTTTCCAATTAGTCGCCACAGTTGTTTTCCTCATGAATCAGAATTTCCTGTACGACATTACACAATTTTGTTATTCTACCTGAAAAGAATTGGAGGAAAAAGTCTGGATGTATTGTCGCATATCGCACAAATTAGCCGTGAACATCAAATGCCATTGGGAGGGAGTGCTTCAGTGTCTTTTTCCAAGTCGGGACAGACACGTAACAAGGTAGCCCGACGACAAGACCTAGTCTCAAGTTTTAATTTAATAAGACCAATAAGACATCTTCACCAGATTTCCGAGAGAAGAAACCCCCTCGGCGGGACCGGATTCAAAAACGCGGATGGTTTTGGTTTTGGTTCGTTTTCGGTTGGCGTAAATGTGCGAACGAACCGAACGCTCATTCGATTAGGGATTAACAGATTTTCCTTTGCAATTGATTGGTGTTGATGCTTTTGCCAATGGATTTCCCCAGGTGTTCGCTTTTTACCTGTTCTTCCCTCTCATTTTCATTCGTTCAAGTGAAAACACACTTCTCCGAAAAAATTATACAATAATGCGATCAACGTCATCTCTGAGAAAAAGGAGCGTTCCGTGAGGGTACAATACTTTCGATGCTTCCTGCATTGTTGCATAATGGTGAAGGACAGAGGGTGTTCCTGCTGCATAAATTTCGCCGAATGGTTTTACATTTAAATTCCTTATTCCTTTCATTTTTCTTCAAATTCTCCTTAGTGCATTGTGGGAGAGAGGAAATAATAAGATGAGAAACCGCCACGTCAACCGGAGACAAAAAAAACTGTTGTAATACAACCTCAAAAGGGGAAAACGATAAATCACAAAATCTGCGAAAGGTCGAATATTCAAAAGAAAACGGCTTCTTCATTGTTTTCCCTCTGTATTTTTTCCCTCTCTCTGATGCCACTCGACTCCTCACACACATACAAAAAAGCCCGTTTCTTACACAGTTTTTTTGGGTTGCCTGGTGGTAGTGCCGTTTGACGTCTAATTATCATTTTGTGAAAGGTGGGGGAATGAGGAAAAAGGACGCATAGCTGAATGAGGAAGCAGCGGTTTGGGTTGGAAATCAGAATTTAGAAGAGAAGCTAGATACTACAATAAAGGGAATCTTAAAATTTCAGAATAACATGCGTTTTTTGATACAACTACAGTAAATTGCGTAATAGAAGAGCCCTCATACTGATGAGTTTGGGTAAATTTGTATAAATTTCTATACGAGATATCACACTTTTTTCAATAGAGAAAACACTCAGGATATTATGATTAAACATTTATCAGTTTGACAACCTTTTCATATATTTGGCAGGAACCGAGAAAAATTTGAGGTCCCATACAGTTTTTACGGTCCAAAACTTTAGAACTGGATTTACCAGAAAGTTATAATTTCATGACCCAATTTCAAAATATTCTAATCTACAGAACCTAACACTTCTTTTCTAATTTAACTATCCCATTTAAATATTAGGACAATTAGTTGTTCTAGGTTCCAAGGTATACTGTACATATTCTATTCATTTTGAATGTCTCGTTTCCACGCTTTGCTTAAACAGCGAAAAAAACCCAAAGGCTCCCATCTTCACATGAAACTATCTTCGTTATCTGATTTATTGCCTTCTGCTTCAATCCAATAACCAGCACTCTCCTTCGTTAACCTGTCAAAGTCAAAAAATGCAGTCCATTTCTTTTTTCATTTACTATCTCTCAAGGTCATCATCGGCCGTAATCATGTTTACTTTTTCTGTCATTTAGGCAGTTGCCCGGCGGTCACCGCCCGTACTACTAGCTTTGATGTAATTGGTACCAAGGTTGGTCAACTGGCCATCAGAAGACAAAAAAAAGCGAAGAAAAGAAGAAAACGACATTATCAACAGTCAAGGGGTGTTTTAATTCCAACACCCGTAACTGATTCTTACAACTTACTGGTGGTACGTTTAATCTATCGAAATTAACCACGAAAGTTACGATAACAACAACAACAACAACCTCGAATTTGATCAATCTATCAAAAGCCTGGAATCCGGTCCTGGTTTACATTCTTTGGCCTCTCATAGCTCATTTGTGTGAAAAACCTGTGTTTTTTGCAATACTTGGAAAGAATCTCTGTGGGATATCGTTTTACAACTGCGAATCTTCATTCACCATGCTTTGTCTCTCAAGGTTGGCATTCTTGATGTAGGAAATTGGAATTTAAAAAAGTCCTTGTACTTTGGAACAGACAAAACTTTGAATAGACGAGAGATTCTGGATTTAGAGGGAGTTCTCAGAAATACGTTAAAGAAACACAGTATCGTGCAAAGGTATCACTCTTAGTATTTTTCGGTTCAAAAATGATAATCTTTGTAGACCTCAAAAAGTAGTCTACAATTTTTTAGGTTTTTTCAAAGAGTTTGAGCTATTTTGAACATCGACAAATTAGTTTATATAATTAACAATTTCTCAGAAAAGTCCTCCCTGATAAGACGACGTTTGGCTTTTGTTACGAACACAGGGGTGGGAATGACAAAATCAACTCTGAAATGAGAGTTATGCCACATCGAATCCGCCGATTTTTCTTTGTTGTCTTTGGATTTGGACAAAAAGTTTTAAATGGCAAGTCTGAAGCTGCAGTTATTTTCAGTATGCTTTGCAAATTTCAGACAAATGAAAAGCTAATTTTTCAGGACTTCGAAATTGAAAGCTATTTTCCACTGAAAACAATCAAAATGTGATATTTTTTAATCTGGTTCTGCCCCTATCTGCATAATAAGAACAAAGCAAGTGTTCCGAAAATCCAGTTCAACACATATTTTCTCAAACACCAAAACTTGACATCAAACCAATTAATGGGCCATTATGTCCTTTCGAAGAATCTCGTTGCAACACATCATTTTTTGACAAACTTGCGCGTTCGGGTGTGAATCCATCGTTCAATTGGGGTGATTATTTTGGGTGATTAATGTAAGATTGCATAAAATAATTCGGGTTATTTTCCTTCATTGTGTTTGATGGGATGGCATATTTTTAAGAAATCATATGAAATTCAAGTTTTCCTAACTTCCTGGGTTTGGTTTGGGTTGGGTTCGATGTTTCGTTTGTTGTGAGGGGTACAGTATCAAACAGGAAGTGGCAAGATGTGTGAAGTTGAAAGATGAACGTTTTTTAATGTTGTTATTTGTACAATACAAAAAAAAAGTTTGATGTAAAATTATGGGAAATCATCTAAAAACATTTGGACCGGAAATTAGATAAAATTGAAGTTTAAAAAAAATTTAAAACGTCAGTTGAGAGCTTATTTGAATATTGATGAACGTTTCATGGAACACTATAGCTGAGAAGAGTAGGTATAAGTTCAGAAATTGTGATAGGCTCATATTTCCATTAGCTCAAAAGAGTTTTCTTCTATTCTCATAAGTTTCGGCTTACGAGCTAACATAACCCTGTACAATTTTTTGTATGACGTACTTCTAGCATAGGGATCTCTGGAATCCTAAAGTCCGAACGATTATTCCATCTATTCGTAAACATTTATTCTGCAAATCGGATCACCCAATTACGTCACATTATACCGTTGATTGCCTTGATATTTCATGGCATTAATCACAAGAAAATACAAACACTTCCTTCTCAACATCTTCTCTCCCATACTCGCAATATCCGCTCGCACCACCACCCACGAAAACGGTTTCAACAATTTCTCAAGGTTACTTGTAGATTAATTTCTGAATTCTACAACTATGTGCATGTGTGTGTTTCGGTGCGATCTGATTCAAATTGAAATGAATCAAAAATCTACTACTTTCTGTCTAGTACCCTAGGAAAAGTATGACGCGAGGAGGTTCGGTCACTCAATTTTCATTTACTTCATGTTGGTAAATGAAAAGAATTCAATTTCTTTTTGGGTTTTCTTGTCCGATAAAAAACCGAGGTGGCCGTCAAATTGGACTGATACCGTCGGAGATTTTTTCGTACTCACGAAAAATAGAATTGGATGAAAACGACAAGGCCACATAAGTCGTTCCGAATTTATGTTTTTCGTGTTGGAAGAAAACCATTTTGTTTGACGAGTAGAAAGAGTAGTAGAGTAATTGGAACTGCTTTTTTTGACCCAACAACATAAAAAACGACATTTCGTAATATGATGTGATTGTGGACGATTTCGACCTTGTCAATCCGAATCCAAATACCGTTCCAAGAAGTTATAAAATTTTACAACTTCAATTCTGTAAAGGGGTGTCCCTCAAAAAAAGGAAAATCAAGAACAAACGTGCAACAGAACAATTTCATTGAGCATCGGTCACAAGTCACAACTGATTATATTTTCATACATTAAGGTGTCTGTGATCTGGTCTAGTTTGTAGCGAGCATTGTTATGACTACCCGTTTTGACAGATCATGTGCGAGTCACTGCTCACTGATGACTATAATGATAATGAATCGCGTCATGGTACATATAACAGAAAGTACAAACTTGAATTGAAATTATCATGTTTATTAAACTTGAAATACGATGAAGCAATTAAAGCAGCAAACATCATAAAAATCTGTTTTTCTGTTGTGCAAAATATTGAAATTTTGTGAATAAGATACAGTTCTGGCTAAAAGTTCTTGAATTTCATTTACTTTCAGGTGGAAAATTCTTGACTTTGACTGTCTAAAAAACATAGAAATTTTTCTTAGATCAGTCTGAAAGTTTTTCTTTCTACTGAACAAAAATAGAGCTTCAATTTTGTAGCTGACGACTTTTTTTCTATGAGTTCATCCAAATGAGAAAAGCCGTTTAGAAGTACTACAACTTCAAAATTAGTCTTATTTCTGGAAGGTTGGCGCATTTTATTGGGTTTTCCCGGTATCTCATCCAAATTAATATATACAAAAAAGGTGCCAAATGCACGATTAAAGCTCAGGTAAAACTTAAGTATTTCTACTTGTAAGCACTTTCAGTTATCAAAACTGATAAGAAGTTTAGGGAGTTTGAAGTTTGCTGAAACCGAAACTAGACACTAGGGCAATACACTTCATATGTTCTTATTTGGGAGACGTTGCATTATTGTTTTTTTTAATTTGTATTGAATTCTGAAAAATAATTGATCCGTTATTCTGAAAAGAAATGACAATTTTTCCGTTCGAAGTTTGTTGAAAAAAACCTGAAATTTCCTGACGGAGCAGGGAATAACTATCTACTTCATCAGATCTCGTCAGGATGAATTTCCACAACAAAGCTGTCGACTACAAAATTGAAGCTCTAGTTTTGTTTAGTAAACTCGGAAACTTTCAGGATCATGCGACAAAATCTAGATGGTTTTTCAGACGTCCAAACTTAGCGATTAAACAAAATACCAAAATTTCTACTTTGAAGAATTTTCAGTTATCAAAAATTATAAAAATTGAGAGAGTTTGGAGTTTGCTGAAAACGAAATTAGACACTAGAGTGATACATTTTTATGTTGCTATTTGTTGGACGTTATGTCATTGTTTTCAAAATTTTTCTAAAATTTCGAAAAATAACTTCTCCGTTTGACTGAGAAGAAATGACAAAATTATTACTAAAATTTCTAGACGGGGACCATCTCCATCTTCAGAGCAACTGAAAAGTGTAGGAAGTGGATTTAATAGTTGATTTCATGATGATTAAAATGATAACAGCCTCTACTTTGAATGTTTTCCCCATACTATTTCGATTATCGGTTTTCAATTTCAAAGTTTATTAGGTTAGTGAAGACTGAAAAACAGTATGCAAACAAGTGGTACGGTACAATAACATGACAATATCAAAATCAAATTTAGAACTGTTGTTCCTCCTTGGCCGGCTGGAGTGGTGGAGCAGTCACTGGCGTCGCTGGAGGCGGGAGCAATGGGGCTCTCTCACTGTAGGTTGGGTTGTGATGAGAGTGATCGTGTCCGTCGAGACGTTCGTATTGGCTTCGTTGCTTGACTTGGTACACGATCATAATGATCAAAGCGACCGAGAGAAGAATACACAGAGCAAGAAGCACCCAAGTGACAGTTTCCCAAGCGGCTTTTCCGGTGATTCTGAAATAGAAGTAGAGATGTGATTTTTAGCAATTTCTGATGTTAACTAACTCATCAAGGATAGTGGCCTTTGGTGCAATGTCAACTGGATCCTCATCTAGGAGTGGTGGGCTACCTGGAGCATCTGCTGGTAATGCGGGAGCCTCGGCCTTTTTCTCATTTAACACTTGCTTCAGAGCTTCTTTGTCGAGTTGGCTTCGGACTTTATCAGAAACTTCGTTTTCAATCTTGTTCTTGACACTTTGTCCGATAAGATCCTGCAATTCAGAAGATATTTAAAAAAAGACTTTCTCAACTTTCAATACCCGGATCATATCAGAAAGCTCTTTCTTCTTCTGCTGATAACTATCCGCTTGCTGACCAACATTTTTCCCTTGTTCCTTAAGTTCGGTGAACTTGTTCTAGAAAATATACTGCTTAGGTATAACGATGACACGCCCAACTCACATAGATCTCCTGTTGCAAAACTTTCTGCTCCTCTTTCTGATCAGTCAACCGTTGATTCTTCTCATCAGCACGTCGTTTCACCTCGGCAGCCACTAGATCCTTGACTTCGGCCAACTCATTTTTCAAATCCTCCAATCTTTGCTTTCTACGCTCATCTAGTTTCTGTTTTGCTGCGTCAATTTGTTGCTGGAGCTCTTCACGCTGTTGTTTCAGTCTCTCGGCGGCTTCTTTCCATTGCTATAACCATAAATTAGCAGATTACTTGAATTTCAAAATTACCTCAATCTCTTCTTGTCTTTGCTTTTCCTTTTCTTCTCTTCTCGCCTTCAGTTTATCAGTGACACTATTTACAAAGCTATCGATTTTCTGAAAAATCACGTTTATCTGGAATATTATACTGTGGGATACCTCTTGCTTCTCTTGTTCCTTGGCTTCTTTCTTCGCTTGTACAGATTCTACAAATTCTCCGATCTGCTCAGAAACTTCTTTCCATTTTTGAATCGCAGCTTCAGCTTGGGCTTTTTTGGCTTCCGCCTTCTCTTGTTTCTCTTTTTCGAGCTCGTCGGCCTTCTGCTTCACAGCTTCTGACACTTTGCTCAGTGTCTCATTGAGTTTCTTCTCTGCTTCTTCGCGATACTTTTGTCTGGCGGCACGTGCATTCTCAAAGTTCACTCTCAACTCCTCTTCCAGAGCTTTTTCAGTATCAATTACTGACTGGAAGGTGTCTGCGAGTGAAAAGTATCGAACAGAAGAAACGCTCGATAAGGCGAATAGAAGAAGTAGAACAATTGAGAATGGTCTCATTCTGTGAAAAAACAAACAATAATCAATATGTGCAAAAAACGAAAGAAAGAAATGTAGACAAAAGGTAACTAACTAACTGACAGATAGAAAGAAACAAAACCCATAATGTGTGCGGCGTATCTTATCAGTCAATCGGTATTTGGCTCCAAATTAACGTCCGCCCCAGCATGTTGTTGATTGAGAACAACGAGCAAATAAACACCGACAGTGCATCAATATAATCATGGGTTCGATCTGAAAGTGATGTCTTTTGTAATGATCAAACGATCATGGACCATGACTTTCAGTGATGAATCTCCCAAAATATGCTAATAGGACTATATTGAGTTATATTTGTTATAATTTGTAGTTTCCTTACAGTGCAAAACCTATATCCCGAGTTATGCTCGATTGTTTCAAGTAAACTTATAATTATGTCCCTTTTTTTCGGGTCATTTTTCCGATTATTTCGAAATTTCCAAAATCAAGAAACGATAGTGGTCTCGATGGTATTAATTAATTGACATTTCAAAATAGTATTTATTGCGTTCATATGCTGTTCAGTCTATATTCACAGTTTTCGAGAAAACTCGAAATTCAAAGTGAACTTATAATTATGTCCAGCAGTGTTTGTGTACACCAGAATCGTATTCAAAAGAACAACGTGTGTATTTTATTTACCGTAAAACCTGTATTAATGGGAAGGACGCTTCGATACAGAAAGGGAAAAATAGAAGAGTCCTTGTGATAGAGGGCCCCTTCAAAATTTGTTGATTGACACTCAAAACTTCCTTGCGTTTTCAAAGAAAAATATTCCAGAAATTCTACACTTAAGCAGAAATTTGTTTAAAATTTGTTCCTTCTCAATTTTGGTGAATCTGATGGATTTTCATAAATTTTGAACGAGTATTCACCGAATTTTTCGATAAAAAGTTTCGAACAGGAGGATATGAAACCAATCTGAATATTCGCAACAGAATTAAATGAAACCCAACTTGAAAAAATCTTAGTTTTTTTCACGCCAGAAAATCCAATACGCCATGCGAAGAAATTCAAGAAGTATTGTACTTTCAATGAATTTTTATGAAGGGTTTGTTTTACTGCCTTCCCTCATATGAAAATTTGATCATCCATTTTTTTTGAACAATTCAAAATTAGAGGTCTCCAAAGAAATCCTTTCACAGTTCCGCTCAATCTGTATTTTTTGTCGACTAAACTACATTTCTCACTATTTGAGACTATTTGAAATTCGAAAACTTATATGAATTTCAGAAAAATTCTACAAATAACTTCAAATTATGTTTCAGTATCTCACCTGGAAAAAAATTTCTTTCCTGCGACACCCAAGAAGTTCATGACAGGTCAAGCTCTGTAATGAGAAAACGAAAAAAAAAGAAAAGCTACAAATTATCATTCATTTTTTATTCCACAAACGAACTATTAAAATCCCCTCCCGCCATTTAACTTCTGCTTGATGACAGACAATGGCTTGTGATGGACAGGATATGGGCTCAACAAAAAAATTCTGACAAAATATTTTTGATATTATGATAAACATTTTGTCAATTGGCTACTTTTTGATATCTCTCACAGGAAATGAGACATATGGGCTCAAAGTTGATTCCCAGTGAAAAACATCAAAACGTTGTCAACTAACAAACCATTTCTGATAATATGATACATATTTTGAAAATGGGGGGGGGGGGGGTGTTCCAAATGATGAATGGGCGAGAAGAACATAGTTCAAAATTTCTCTTACT